GGTATTGATGTGTTGCGTCTTATTGCACGATGTGTGTGTGTGTACACACGCCTCTTTTACACTGTCTCTGCTAATGAACTTGTCTGACTCTGTTACTTGTTATGACTATAAATATACTTTTGATCTTCTTGGATGTAGTAACTAATGACAGCTCTCTCTCTCTCTCTCTCTCTCTCTCTCTCTCTCTCTCTCTCTCTCTCTCTCTCTCTCTCTCTCTCCCTCTCTCTCTCTCTCTCTCTCTCTCTCAGGAGATGAAGGTTCCCCCAGTACAGGAGCCTCTCATGTCCTCTCAGACAGTCCTCAATGGCTACTCCCCCACTTGTAATCCTCGTCACTGTTGGGAGCCTCATTTCAACTCAAAGATTCTCGAGGCTCACTGGAAGAACAAAGTGACTGAGTTCTTGCACAGACGCTATCGTGTTGCCCTCATATTTATTGGGCTTTTCGCTCTTTTGTGGATCGTATTTTTCTCTGTTCAGCTTCCAGTGAATTTATCAAATAAACTCACGAGCGATTTTCTTGCTGCCGAAAGTGTCAAGTATTCTGAAGGTTATATCATGGGCGCCGTCACTCTTTTCTTTATCCTCATTCCTCTCCTTGTACTCACTTTTTGGAAGCACTATCGTAAAATCGCTCAAGCCCTCTCCGTCATCCTAACCCTAGTATTGATGGGGTCTTCAATCGGACTAGCCATTGCTTTACACATTGATTCAACTGCTGGCATATCCACCATATCATTTGTAGCTCAGTTCGCTATATCAGCCATTGTGGTCCTGGTAGTATACACTCTCTCTCGTTTCAGTATTTGGTTCTCTGTCATTATCTGTTTCTGTTACATGATGATTCTCGAGACTATTTCCATTACTCTTCATAGCATGAGCGCTCCGCAGTATTTCAACATAACCTCAACCACCGCCACTAATACAAATTATTTCAAATTATTTACGTCGGCGACTGTGAGTAGACTGTTGTTCCACATTGCTCTCAATATTTCGGGAATCACCACGGCTTACCTATCCCAGTTGAGGCTTCACGATACATTCTGGCGTATCGGTCAATGCGTGCTGGCCAGACGACTCCTAGACACGGAGAGGGACATTGAGGAGAAGACGGTTCACTCTTTGCTACCGCGGGCTTTTGCCGATAACCTTCTCTCGGCCGATGTCCAAATTGCCATTATCATCAATCAAGAGTTGCATCGTGGGGAGCACTCCTCCCACCACCCGCTATTCAAGCCGATATCGATACCTTTTAATTTCTGTTCCATGGATCGCGTGAGTATACTCTTTGCCGACATCGTCGGCTTCACGAAATTTTCTTCATCTCTCTCAGCAGCAGAGCTGGTTGGAATACTCAACGAGATATTCTCAGAGTTTGACGAGCTCGCTGTGAGGAACAAATGCGAGAAGGTAACAACCCTTGGTGATAGCTACATTGCTGTGTCTGGTTGTCCTAAGCAAGACTCGGCTCATGCTGATAACGTAGTCGAGATGGGTCTTTCTATAGTAAAGTCCCTCGATGATTATTGTCTTCGTACGAGGCGACCAATCAGAATGAGGATTGGAGTTCACAGCGGGTCTGTTATTTGTGGCGTCGTTGGCACTAAAAGATTCAAATTTGACGTGTGGTCTCGTGACGTCACGATAGCCAATCAAATCGAGTCTGTGGGCATGCCTGGGCGTGTCATTGTCTCCATGGCAACTCGGAGCTACCTGTCAAGTGCATACGTGACAGAAGACTACGTTGTTGATGACGTTCCCCCGGACCTGGAGGGTATGAAACTCTACTCTGCCTCTCGTTACAGAAGACGCTCCTCAACGACGATCGGCTCTACGTCGCTAGCTTGGAAACAACGTATTAAAGAGATCGAGAGTGTGGGCAAGGGAGAGGAAGAAGGGGAGGAGGAGGAGGAGGAGAGCACTCTTAGGGAGATGCTACGTAGACGCTCCTCTTTACGTGGTGACCTTCCACTTGATGGGCAGCCCTCTGTATCGTTACGGGACTCCCTGTCCCGCCAGTCCCACCTCCAGCAGTGTGCCTCTTACACTGAGGAGGCTAATCCATCAGACAGAGAGGATAATCTCGATAGGAAGATAGTCGACCTTATGGAAGCGGAAAAGGTCAAGTTTGATTCTTATTTCGATCCTCGTATTCGCTGTCTCACGGTCTTCTTCAGCAACCAGGAGCTCGAGGCGAGATATCGTAATCACGGTCGAGACCTCATCGACCCTCAGAATGGAATGCAGATGGAGCTTGGCTACCAATTAACGAAACTGAGCTACTTAGTTGACGTTGTGGCCCTCATAAGCATATTCTTGCTGATAATGGCAGGGACTGCCATCACTCTAAGTGGCGGTACAGCCTTTCTCTCGGACGGCACTCCACTCTACCAGTCGTGGCTCATAATACTCATACTAGGTCTCATAACCCACACACTCATTCTAATATGTGTCATTGCCGTCTATGCTCCTCATCGGTTCCCGAAACAATTTGCATTAAAGTCCCAGTACCTCATTAATTGGTATGTTCACTCTGTGGTTGCTACCTATTTGATATATTACCCGATGTCGATGGTCATTATAACTCTTACTCAATGCTATGGGTCTGGATTCACGTCGGCCGAAGACCTCGTTCACGTCCAGATGTCGCTTTATGTGACGATAATCGTACTCATCTCTTCGATTAATTTCATGAAACTGAGCTACATTGTCAAAGTTGCCGGTGGAGTCTGCAGCTGTGCCTTAACTATTGTTCTCATTGGTGCTGTCCACTTACAGAGGTGTCGGAGTAAGCTCCCCATTGACAGTCCTGCTGGTAACTTTGGCAATAGAACAATCACCCCAGAGTCCCAAGTTGCTATACTTCGTACCTATTATAACCAGCATATTGTCCCCGAGGCCTTGATACTATTTTTACTAATCCTCACCATATTGGGTGTGGTCAATAGCATGTCTGAAGTCTCCGTGAGACTCAGTTTCATCAGTAGGATCGAAGCGGCCGTGAATAAACAAACGACTCACCAGCAAAAGAACCAAGTTGAGTGGCTACTCTACAACATCATACCGCCTCACGTCGTGATGGAGTTACGTAATACAGGCCGTTACTCTCGTAACCACGAGTGCGTGGGCGTAGTTTTTGCGTCCATCGTCAATTTTGGTGACCTACGGAGCGGAGAAGGAGATGAGGCCTCCTTTAGGTTGTTGAATCGAATAGTGAGAGAGTACGATTCTCTCTTGGACCGATCCCAATTCTCTCATGTTGATAAGATTAAGACTATCGGGAGCACCTATATGGCTGCGTCGGGCCTCAACCTTCCTCCAAATCACTCAGATCACGTCGGCCATCTCGTCCAATTAATAAATTTCAGTCTTCAGCTCCATGAGGTTCTCCGAAAGTTTAACATATTAGTCCCCGGTTTCTCGTTTCGTCTAAGGATCGGTTTTAATTACGGCCCCGTCACCTCGGGCGTGGTCGGAAGTCGAAAGCTACTCTATGACATTTGGGGTGATACGGTTAATGTTGCTAGCAGGATGGAGAGCACCGGTAAAGTGATGAAGATACACCTTCCCGAGAAGTGTCTCCAGATATTGGACTCTTTTGTAACGTGGGACGATCATCAGACAGTAAACGTGAAGGGAAAGGGAAGCATGAAAACCGTCTTTGTCACTGGAAGGAGATAATGTCATTGACTTGTACCTCCATCATTGCTACTTCTATTGTTTTTATGTCTTATATTATTATTACTGGACCAGCTCTCTCTCTCACTCTCTTCTTGCCATTTTTTCACCATTCTTCAATCTGTTTATACGCATCGTTATTATAATTATGTTGTGCTGTGACTGTTGTCATTTTTCATTGAATGTAATGATTGTCTCATATTAATTGCAAGTAAATTCTTTGTTATTTTTTCAATTGGTATTAATACTATTATGCAGATAGTTTGAGCTGATTTTGTTACTTTTGTACAGAAGTTTCATACATAAGCTACTTAAAAAGTTAGAGCCAATTCTGGATTAAAATTTTCAAGTTATGACCATTTTTAAAATTGGCCATTTTTTGGAAAAATCCCTGTACTATAACCCATGGTTTTTTCGAAAAAATGGCTCCAAAATCACCCCAAATTTTTATCACATTTTTTGATGCATATTTATGTCCTTATGCTATGTAGAAAGCTTGGGCCAATTCCGACTTTAAATTTTTGAGTTATGGCCATTTAAAAAATTATCCTGTACTATAGCTAGCCCATGGCTATTCAATACTATCTTAGGTATAATATACACTCTCATACAAAAACAATACTAAAAATGATAACAGATTTACATGCATTAATAATAAATGTAGAACACACACACATTCACATATGTATATTATATATATAATAGTTACAGAGTAATGTCCAAATATCCAACACTGTTCGAAAGCAATACTTCTATCTCTACCACAATTTGAGCAAAAGTTGGCCGTTTAGTAGGATTTCTCTCCCAACACGGTAGCATTATCTTCTGATATCTATAACGCATGTGTATTAAACACAATGAATACAAAGACGTGTATGATCATCACTTACATGTCATCGTTAGATGCTAAGTTTAAAGGTGCCTCGAGTTTATGTCCATCAGCTAGCATTGTCTTAACAGTAAATGGTGAGAATCCTCCATATGGCATCTTCCCTCCACTAAACACTTCCCAGACTGTTATCCCAAAAGACCACTGGGTTTATAGTACATGATATATACTTGCATATTATAACCTTTTGACTTACAATATCAGTCTTCTCTGTGAATATGCCATCTTCTATGCTCTCGATTGCCATCCATTTAATGGGGAGTTTGACTCCATTGGCTTTCTCTTGTCTGTAGTACACGTTGTCGCCAATTATGTTTTTTGAGAGACCGAAATCGGCTACTTTTATATTACCTGTTCCGTCAATCCTACATTTACATTCGTGTGAATAATAATTATAGTAAGAATTTCAAAGGTGTCATTAGCCCCGTTTACACTACAAACCAGTTTGGACCAAAGCGGTTCAGAAACCAGCTTAATTGTGTCCACACGTAACTGTGGTTGAATTGGGAATCGGTTTACAATGCTACATTGCATACATAATACAGCTGCTCCAGTACTTAACCTGGTTTGATTATCTCAAACTGTTTTGATTATCTCAAACTGTTGATTATCTCAAACTGTTGATTATCTCAAACCACCTCCTGAGGTGGTTTAGATAAGTTGGTTTCAAACTGCATTGAAATTGTCCACACATAAACTGATTAATTTCTAAACCGGTTCCAAACCGCTTTAAGGGCATAGTGTAAAGGGGCTATTGTTTATAACTTTACATGCAATTCCTGGCAGCTAGATCTCTGTGTATCAATTTCTTTTCAGCAATATATTGCATTCCTTTCCCTATTTGCAAACTTATAGAGAGTAGCTGTGAACGAACTTGGTTTATCTATTTTAAAAAATATATAAAAATACTTTTTATTATACCAAGAGTACATAATATTTAGGTATTATATACTCTTTATTATCCCTACCTCATCTTCACCTGTTGTTTCATCTATCAAAAGACTCTCCCTGTTTCTCACCAAATGTTTAAGCAGATTACCTCCTGGTGTAAAAAAAATTTATATGTGCAAAGAAGTACATGCATGTATTTTTACCTTCCATATAAGGCAGCACAACTAGTGGCGATGGGCCAGCATCTAAACACAGACCAATAAGTCCCATCACGTTAGGATGATCCAAGTCTTGCATTACCAGGCTTTCAAATATTAATTCTTTCATGTCCTCTTGGCTGTATTTATCCATTGTGCCTACAAGTAAAATAAAAAGCGGATTTAAGCACACACGCTGCTTTATCCCAGATTATAGGCAGGTTAGACACTCTCCCTAAATAATTATCCACTCTTTTAATATTTGCTATTTAATACCATAGTTTATATGTGATTTCAAAATATATTGTCTGTTGTACCTTTGAGTGTTTTAACTGCGACTGTAGTACACTGATTATTGAAGTAATAGTGCCCTTTGTAAACTTTAGCAAACTCGCCTGTACGTGTGTGGATGTATGTGCAAGTAACAATAATTTGCTGGCGTTTTTTTTTTATCAATGTTACCTTGCCCAATGCAGCCAAGTATTTTTATGTGAGATTTTTTAAGCAGGAAAGTTGGAGGTATGCTTTTCACAGTTTCTGAACCAAGGACATTCAAACAAGCTAAGCATGTAAAATAGTCAATACATTACATGATAATGATTGAACTTACTTTCACAATTAGAGGTAGAGCTGCTTCTACGCCTTACATAACTAAAAATAATAATAATAATAATAATAATAATAATAATAATAATAAATTACTAATTATTAAGTACATACTAGTTGTACATTTCGAATCTGCTCTTGGCTGCACTCCTTCGCTTTTTCTTTGAATATTTAAAAGTTGCTACAAGAATGCATAGAATAACCACTAATATGACAACCAGTGCTAATGCAGTGCTCCAATAAACAGTATATGATTGTCCTTCTCCTTCTCCTTCATCAGTCTCTACTGATAGGTAAGTTGCCTTGCTAGTAATACCAGCAGGATGCCATACCATTACTTGGTAGTAGCCTTCATCGTCGCTTGTTACATCAGTGATAATGAGGCTGGCACTATCTTTTGTTGTGTTCATTTTGTTGCTGTTTGTGTCTAGGATGCTGACATTACTACTGGCTTCATTCCAATAGCTCCATTTGATGCTATCAGAGGATACAGGAGGGTTCGGTCCAACTATTTGGACTGTAATGTTAGCATTGTCACCTTTGTATGCTGTAATACGATCCGGTAAATCAAGTTTGGGTGATACTAAATAAATTAGTAAAGTTCATTACAACTTATATAGTATGTGAATATACCTTGAATGTTGACTTTCATATGGCAGGTTTGCCTTGCATTGATTAGGTTAGCAACATTGTTAATGGCTTCACAAGTGTACACTCCTTCATCTCTAATTCGATTTGAAGGACTGATGATCAGTACTGACTGATGTGCTAGTCTATGTGCTATTGTTACATGATGATCATTAGAGTGAAGCGTCTTGTTGTTGTAATACCAGTAGATTGTGGGTTGTGGATTACCAGTAGCAAAGCACCACAGTGTAATCTTTCCTGTTTCATTAACAGTAACCTCGGTCGTATTGGTTCTGACTGAAGATGGATCTGTTTAGAAAATTACGAATTATTGCATTTAAAAAATTTTTTAGTGTATCCAGCTTACATTTGACTGTTAAACTAGTGGCTTGTTGAGCAGTGGTGTAATAAAATTTTAACCTCTTAAAGAAGAGACCATTGGAAAGAAGCCATAATGTTCTTGTGAAGTCAAACTCCTGCACAGTAAACACTGATTGCACTTGACAGCGAATTCGAAAACTAAAAGGTGCTTCTGCAGTTATCGGAAAGCTGATGGTGCTGTTAAGTACATTAAAGACATCACCACGACTTGATTGTGTCCTGAAAAGTCCACTGTCATTGAACCATGGCTCTGGCAGCTGAATCCACTTGGCCGATATTTTATGTACACTTTTAGCATTGCAAGATATGCTGGCATTTTCTCCGGCCACAGTTGCGATCTCTCGTGGATACAGTGCTATTGATGAATCTATCATCAACAAGTAAAATATCATACAACAAAATATTATTTAACTTACACATTCTTTCTATGTGTGCAAAGTTTTGAAATGTCCTATTGCTCTGATATGTGTCAGTAAGACTACAAGTGTACAGGCTTCTATCACCAACAGCAATAGCATAAGAGCTATACTTCATTTTAATCGATATACCCTTTCCAAGTTTTCTTGTTGCACTTTTCACTTCGTAGTCATTTTCTGACAGCAAAGAGCCATCTCTCCACCATTTTATGTCAGTGCACTCTGCACAGAAACAAGTCAGAGTAGCTCTCTTAAGAATATGCACAGCAGAAGAAATTTGCAAGTAAGGATGACCTGTATTATAATAAAATGCATTTTAATTTTTATATCACTTGAATATTTTTTATAATATCTAGTACCTGAGTGAGCGTATATTTTTGTATAATTGATTTTTAGTTGAGAGTTAAGGTACGCAACTACTAACTGCATGGAAAATAATGATCCGTATGGATGAGTCCAGTTAATAATAGCACTATCATCACTGGTCCTGATCACTGACAATGAAGATGCATCATTCAAATAATATTTGGAAAAGCGGAGGCCTGCTGTTTTGAACCTTCTTATTATCACCTTGCTGTGATTTCTTACTGTCACAGTGAGGTACTGGTAAAGTAGGACAAATTTTGGCAGAGGATAACCATTGACTTCCAAATCAAACTTCACAGTGTCATTGAAACGAGTGACGTTAGCAGATTTAATCCTAGGCTTATCTACAGGATGATAAAGTAAAATAGAACTAAGTTGCATGTTCTCATATGAACTTACAGCTCTTTTTTACATAATATGCACTGGAGTGTATATAACTGAATGAGCTATTAGCTCTACAGTAGTAATAACCAGTTGCTGAAGTATCAGTGAGGTTTACTTGAAGCCTAAACTTCCACATCGAATTACTGGAATTGCTATCTATGAATGTGCTCTTTAAGATGGTATGATTGCTCAGTGAGTCATTCTGTGGACTATAAATCCATGACATTTCAAACGGAGGCTCCCCACAGACAGAACACTTGATGTAAAAGGTAGCAAAATTTGCATACACAAGAACTGGGCCTTCAATGATTTCCAGTTCACCTGTAGCAGAATCAAATGCACAATAATAATTTACTACACTACCTACCCGTTTCTGATGTTTCATTGCATGCTCCTGCCATTCCAGCACTCCTCGATAAAAGAATGATAAGCAAGAGCAAAGAAGCTGCCATTTTTCTTATTATAAAGGTACAACAATAAAACTTTATTCTTATATGTGCTATGGGAGTGACATCATGTAGTTAATTCAATTAATATATATTGTGTACATGACAGTACATCCCAAGGGAAGTTTTTATAGCTTCATGGTTTACATAGCTATTATTATACAAGTCTGACTCTATCCCACCAATGTCTAGTCATTACTGGAACTATGACTGACCCTGGCAACTTTTTATTTCCCATTCTCATTCCAGGCATATATACACAACATAGTCTTTTTTTAATCATTATCAGACTCCAAACATTACAATTTCTCTGCCAATAGTGTCATTACGTAGATGCTACGCAAAGCAGTAAACAGTCTTTAATAATGAGTACAAACAAAACGTATAATTATTCATTTTTAAAATAAAAACTACTCAATAATTTGATTGTTATGGTACAGCAACATCAATAATAATTATATCAATAATTCTTTTTTATCTTGGTATTACTGTAACACCTTCAGAAGCTTTAGTAACAGAAACATGTTGCTGACCTAATGAAATTATAGCATAAATAAATAATAGTATAGTAAATGAATCACTAGTGATCAGCTAATATACCATATGTGGCTGGAAAAGTTTGTGGGAATTATATTTTGTACTAAAGGTGGGCATCCACTATGCAACTTTGTTGCCAGTACCTTTGATGTGGTCGTGCAACATGTTGCATGAAGTTAAGACTCTCTCTACTTCATGCAACATGTTGTCCAACCACATCAAAGGTTTAACCACAAATTGCAAGCAACAATGCTGCATAGTGGATACCCACCTTAACAGAGCAAATTTTAATGTATGCGGGATTCAATTTGCTGGTGTAGGCGTGTACTGTTGACACACCCATTACTTATAATGCTTCGCTGGATTATAAATTGAACACTTTAATGATGAACAGCAAGCTATATGGTAATGTCATAGATTTGACCTACCTGGCCTACGTCTTTTTCTGCGAGGATTTTTAGTACAGCCTGAGGATACACTCATCAAGTGATTGTGCCAGCTCTATATTGTACAAAATAATGAAAAATGATGATGCATTTAAAATATGGGATATACTTCGTCATTATTTTGAACATTAGTGTGACAAAGTGGACACTTTACATGATCATCTGGTGGAGCTGTTAACATAATTATGTTAAAATGTAATGGGTGTACTAATACTTCAGTGTCTTACCAGTACATCTTGAGCCTTTCATGTGTGATTCTAGTTGAGTTTTACCAAACACTTCGTGACATTTGGGGCACTCTGCCATCTCAGTCTGACTGCTGCAGTCGTTCAACATGTGTGCACCATAATTCTTAATCTCTACTACCTATTGCAATGAAAAGGAAAATAATGTTATTTTTATGTAACATTATACTTAACATCCTGTACTATAGCCCATGGTTTTTCCTAAAAATGGCTCCGAAATCACCTCCAATTTTTATTACATTTTCTGATACATATTGATGTCCTTATGCTATATAGAAAGTTTGAGACAATTCCGACTTAATTTTTTGAGTTATGGCCATTTTAAAATTATGCCAATTTCTGAAAAATACCCTGTACTATAGCCCATAGTTTTTTTGCAAAAAATGGTTCCAAAATCACCTCCAATTTTTATTACATTTTCTGATACATATTGATGTCCTTATGCTATATAGAAAGTTCGAGCCAATTTCGACTTCAATTTTTTGAGTTATGGTCATTTTTAAAAATTGGCTAATTTCCTGTACCACATGTATAGTCTGTTCTTTTTTCTGATCCTCCATTTTCATCACATTTATAATACCTTTATAAATCACTTCAATAATAAAGGCAGCTAACTATTTTGATACTTGTACAGTACATGTACATGTACATACATACTTGTGTGCATTTCTTGCACTGTAGTAACATGGGGCACTCAGCAGCATAATGCTCATCCATGTGAGCTTTCACATTAAACTCTGGCCTACTGCTCTTGCAAAAAGGACACGTCCTAATATAAAGCATATTTGCAATTACTATAACACCAATATGTATAGTTACTGTTCAATAGTAGCAGAATCAATAACTCTAGTCTGTGCAGCGACTGTTGCTATTTCCTCACTGTCTTCTGATGCTGGCAACTGTACTTACAAAAATTAATTGTGACATAAAAGATAAGCTATAATATAACTAATTATTACTTGACCAGTAGCTTGAGCAAGGCTCCTCAAAGCATCCAATTCACCTTTCAAGTTGTTGAGCTACACAAAAAAATCAATAATCACATTTTATTGCTTATATTTTGTACATTTATTCACAATACACGTACTCTTTTTTGTTTCATTTTCTTTGCTTTCTGCATAAATGCATAAGTTTAGGAAGAAAAATTTAAAAAAAATCTCTTTAGCTCTTACTTCAAAACTTTCTTGTCCTGCAATGTGTACAATGCCATCAATTTCATCGAGCTGATGGAACAGTGTCCTCCAAAATATATTCTTCATTGCAATGTGGTCACTACTGCTCACTGGCAACAGCTCACGTATTGTCCCATCCCGATACTATAGTAGATAATGTACAATTTTTAATTCAAACTAATTATAATATATAGGCTGTACCCCTTTATATAAATAGACAGTCAGTTGTGCTGCAGCTTCTCTCACTTTAGCGTGATTGTGTTGCAAGGAAATATTCACAAACTATAAAATAAAAATGAAATTTAATCAAATAATAATATGACACTTAAATTGTATCATCATAAAATAAACACATATCTTACTTCCATTATTTTAGGAATCGTCATATGTGCTGTTCCTAGATCGACTACCTCCAGAAATGCTTGCAAGACCTCTACCCTTCCTTTCGCATAGCGCCAAGTGACAGTTCTAGCCTGAGTCTCCATTGATATTGTCAGCTTGCTTCCATCGTCTAAACTCTTAGTCTTGTCTTGGGCTAAAGGCCTTAAGAGATAATGCCCCAGCAAAGGCTACAAATGAAAAGTACAACATTATAAGTATTGAGAACTTAGCTCAAAGCTTATAGTTATAGTTATACAAGTTATTACAATTATTATTACAATAATAATTATAGTTATTGCAAGTGGTTAATTAGGCTCAAGCAATGGTATTCTGTTGAATGGCTTCCATGTAGCAGTCTCCATAGCATTTGGACACCTCATTCATATCATTAACATCAAACAGAATTATTCACGAATGGTTTAAAACATTATAAGTATTGAAAAATTAGCTCAAAGCTTATAAGTATTAAGTATGGTTGACTGACCTTCACTTCAGGTATAGCAGCAAGATCAAGTATTGCTCTCATAGAAGATGACTGTATTCTTGTATTCTAAATTACATAGTACATGTACATGTTTGTGTATACAATTTCTATTACGTACAGTGTCAGCAAATCTATTCATCACTACTGGGAGAATCTTGTCCAGGACCGTCACTAGATCAGAGCTTGATAATCTACAGAGTACAGTATATAGTACATACAGCATCCATATATAATAGATTGTATGCTACATGTTTGTGTCCCAGTACATCTACCTGTGACCATCAGCAATAGAGTGGATAATTATCCACATGTGTATACTATACAAGATGATTTATTGGCTAGAGTAATATTTGGCGAATTTAATTGCCTTTGGAAAGAAATTGGCGAATTTTATATTGGCGTTTTTGTGCCATGTGCCATTGAGCATGCTTAAATTGAAACAAAATGGTGGATTTTATATTGGTGATTTTTTTTATAAAACCGCCAATTGCCAATATTAATTCCTCGCCAATAAATCATCTTGTGTGGTATAATATATCTACCTGTGACTATTAACAATAGATACATCATGTGTACTGTGTATATAATATATCTACCTGTGACGCTTTGCATATTCTCCCATTAGCTCTTTCAAGATGTCAATTGCTATGTTAAATGACTAATAAAGTAATATATCAAAGAGTGTGAGAGAGAAGCCATTAATGAAGTCTTACTGTTAGTACTTTATCACTGAATCCCCTACGCAGTATTTGACACAATGCTTTGGTCATTTCACTTCTACTGAAACTAGTCTCTTTCTTCATAATGTCTAGAACATCAGTGAGTCCTTGCTCTCTTAGGTGATACAGCTTTGAAAAGACTTTAGCAACCTATAACCCGATGGTACAAGTACAGGAACGCGTGGGCGTTGGAACTTACCGTGACATCACCAAAAACCTGGACAGCAACTGCAGCCTCGTTTAACTGTGCATCAGTGAGTGGCTCAGGCTGAGAGGGTGGCACTAAATATCATTTGCACTATTATTAATATTATCAATGTATTATTATTTTACTCTCTGCATCTTCATTGGGATATTCACTATAGTTGCTCTGCTGCTGAGAAGTACTGCATGTGTACATATGTGAATATGGTTATGCAAATATATCACATTTTACTGCAGTGTACATACTTTATATGTGGTAGCTCTATATCTATTGGTTGATTTACAGGAGGAGGAGGCTCTGAAGGTAAATGCTGACCAGATGACAATGAAGGCAAGTTGCTTTGACCTATTGTGACATTATTACAGTATGCATATACACGTACATGCATTAGAGTTGAATAATGTGTCTTACGTGTAGAAGTATCTCTAGTCAGTTCTTCTGGTACGTAATGAACTTTCTTATCTTTTCTTCCTTGCTCTCTGACTATTGGGATCTCTCCTCTTAACAATTGCTCGAAATTTAGTCTTTCTTTTAACTGAATCTCAATGCTGTCCTTTTCAGACTGTAAAGAATAATAAAGTGATAATAATAAAGTGATGGTGCTCTGGGGTAGTGATGGTTTTTTAAAAATAAGTACCTTCCATTTTTTGGCTTCATCAAAGTCTTCTCTTTCAATAGCTTGTCTCTTTTCTCGTTCATAATGACACAAAACCTGGCCAACCTGAGACACCATAATCAACAACAACAACAACAACAACAATAATAATAATAATATTAATAATACTTTGATCATTTCATTGATGGCTTCTTTTAGTGCTTTAGCTAGCTCAAATTGGTCCCCTGTTATTTTTTAAATTGGAATTTTAAAAAAATTAATTGACTCACTCTCAATTGCTTGCTGCTTTTGTGCTTCAAGCTGCTTTATAAGCCTTGCAGAAGATGGATCCTATAAAAAAAGGAATGAGCCTATTTGTACATTAAGTGTAATAAAGTAACTTTTACCAGTGTCATATCGAAACTAAGATCATTGATAGTAGACACGTGCACTGGTGGCTGCCTATTAAAATTACAAAAAAAAATTAAAAAAAAAAACTGTAATAGTAACTGATTAAAGATTTTCATCACCTTCCTGTCACTTTAATGCTCTAAAGAAGTCAAAAATAATAAAGTATTATATTGTACGTAATTCATAAGCATACTTGTGATTTGGTAATGTGTGATTGTGGATCATGTCCCAGAATGTTAAGAGCTAAAACAGATACCTAAAATGAGCATACTAATAGTACATACCGATGATACCGTATAGCACTTTCATTGGGGGAGTTTTATTTTGACGATTGGTGGTATGCAAGTGAAATTGCCAATATTAAAACTGCCAATCATTAATGTGCATGCTCAGTAATGCACGTGTACACAAAAAATTGCCAAATTAAAAACCGCCAATTACAATTTTATAGCAAAACTGCCAAAATAAAGTGCCGCTATTGCTACATACCTGATTAAACAAGTTCAGTTGGTTCACGTGATTAGTATGAAGGACTAGTTTAAGATACTGTCCCTCTGCATCAATGTTGATCGACTTCATTTCTCTCGACTATGAAAGCAATGATAACGCATCACCCACCACCACACATCCTAATGATACTACTAACTTTGTAATTGGTCGCATCATTAGCAGAGAGTGATACATATCTATTGCAATGGATAATAAATTGGCAGTACCTACATGTACATTATGCACTTACCCCAATCTCGTGTACTGAATATTAAGTAAGCTATTTGCCTGCTGTCCCTGTATTGAGCTTCTACCAACAAATAACTCGATTTTAGAAGCTGTCAAAAAGATTTATTTTAATTCCAGGTACTTCCATGCATAGAGAAGCTTACCGATCATGTACTCGTGAGAAAGTAGTTGTATTTTACGTATTCTTGCTTTGGATCTGAGGCAGACTACAAACTGCTGTGGGTAAGGGCAGTACCTGGAGGGAATGCAAATGGAGGTTAAGCATTAGATCTACTGGTTTTGCTGCTAAGTCTGTCACAAAATAACACCTGAATCCCCTTATATACCTCTCTGACTTCCAGCCAGTCACGAAAGGATGCATTTCCTGGTTGCAGAAGGAGAGAGAGTTTATGTTATCAATAAAGAAGACTTGCAGGACTTACCTCCATGCTCTTGGGATGGTAGCCGTCCTCCCAACTGGTGCAACCGACCACTTTGAATCTGACTTTAGCTACACTGACCGACATGGGGCTACATGTACATGTACATGGATTGTTGTCACCATAACAACTGCTAATTGATTTTCTATGACAACCGTTGCCATAGAAAATAAAGTGGGCGTGGCTGGCCTATTTAGAATCAAAGATGGCGGCCAATGATCAAGTGACTATTTCAGCTAGCAGCGTCACTAGCGCTAAAGCAAGGCTGTATTTAGCCAACAAGAAGAAGTAAGCTGGTTTTAAAACCCTTATTCCTTGTCATACGGTCCTTAGGCAGCAAGATGCTAGCTCCTATCGCTGTCAAAAGTGTCTCAAATACGGCCATTTCACATACGAATGTGAAGGGAGCAGGAAGTACCTGTATAGACCCTCAAGGACAAAGATTCTAAAGAAAAGAAAAGAAGAACCTCCTGCTCCTCCTCCACCTAAGTGAGTTAGGCATTAAAACGATTAATAAAATAATTAAATTACCACATGGTATGTACTACATGTGTTACTGAAACTTGTGTACTTTTTACTTTAATACATTTCAGGTTAATTCTTTAATTAGATCTCTTCAATATAAGATTATTCGTTTTATGTATTTTTTAGAGTTTCTAAAAGCGAGTCAGCAAAAGAAAGCTTAAAGCATACAAAGTAAGAGCTTTCCTGCCATTTTTCATCAAAATTATGATCATTATTTTTATGCTCATAGAAAAAGAAGGAAGAGACACAGTACCAGTACTGATGATAGTTCAAACAGTGACAGCTCATCTTCGGATAGTGACTCTGACTCAACGAGCTCAAGGTATTACAATCTATAACTTAAGTCCACTTGTACTAATTTTGTTTGATCTGGGTTTCCCACAGGATTTCGGCATAGCTTTGCTTCTTGTTAGTAGATTTTTATAAACATTACATTTTTGTTCCAAAATTTGACAAAACAGCCTGTACTATAGTACAGGGTATTTTGTCAAAAATTGCTAAGAGAGAATCCTTCATTTTTGTAATTTATCTTATACATAAACATGTCCTTATGTTGTATAGAAATTTTGAGCTGATTCCGATCAAAGACTGATTTTTTATGAATTTTTTAAGTTGGTCAAAAATTGGGCTAAAGTCCCTGTACTATAGTACAGGTTCACAGGCCAAATTTTGACAAAAATGAAAATGAGAGCAATCTTCATTTTATAATTCTTTTCTGATGCATATACACGTTTTTATGTTGTGTAGAAAGTTTGAGAGAATTCCGATCAAGTTTGGATTTTACATGAATTTTTAAAGTTGCTCCAAAATCAGGCTAAAGTCCCTGTACTATAGTACAGGGATTTTGACCAAATTTCGCCAAAAATGAAAAGGAGAGAATTCTCCATTTTTATAATTTATTTTGATGCACATATATGTACTTGTGTTGTGTAGAAATTTTGGGCTGATTTCGGTCAAGTTTGGATTTTTTTATGAATTTTTAAAGATGCTCCAAAATCACTTAGCAGTCTTTTGGGATACTTTTATTAGGAATTAGAGTATTAACAAACATACTCTTGGTATTAAAAGTTTGGCTTTTTATGATGCATAATAGCCAACTATTTTTTGATATCTTAAATTTATGCATGTCACTTGATCCATTTTTAAATATATTTTTTAAAAACTAGTACATCCAGTTACTATAATATTATTGTTAATTTTTTATTTCTTTTTATTTTCCTTAGAACTGATTCCAGTGATGATGACGATACTTCTTCAGATTCCGAGTCGTCAAGTCAAACCTCTTCGTCTGATTCAGATTGAATCCCACCTGCCCTTCCTTCCTTCGTCATGTTATTAATAACATTGAATGTTGTACATTATTGTGTACTGTCACAAACTAATGAAAATTATTAAAAAAAAAAAGGAAGCATCTTTCCTTACAAATTTTAATCATGAATGATTGAATTCGAGTCACACCCACAATCTCGTGGCTGCTACTTCTTCCTCTACACGTTCCTCCCTCGCTCTCCTTTTCTCTTTCTACAACTCTTTCCTTTGAGTGTGTGTGTTTACACTAGATATCATGTGACGGGCTTGTTCTATCTATATAGTGCTGGAATAATAGCTGTTGCGAGGGTGCGGCCTGTCAAGATAAAAGAAATCTACCTCTGGTCTGATCTCTTCTACATTCATTCACAGCGACATTCACACTCATCAACACCTGATATAGCTCCTCCACTGACCTGGTGAGCCTCGTTTGATCGTACCGCCTATGATTAATAAAGTAAGATTCCCACAGTATATATATATACCAGTTCTATGACTAACATTCTGTGCTTACATCAAGTAGATGTAGTACTGTCTTGAATAATGTAGTGTTTTTACGTTATGTTTTGTACTGCCCTAATAATTGTAACTATTTTCATTCCTTCTGAGAGCTCAGTATTGTATTATTATCGACAAGAGATTTGATGGGAATTTTAGAAAAATGCATATCAAGCATGTACCAGCATCACTATTACTATAAGTAACACTATTAGGCTCTATTAAGTAAGACGGACTGGTAACGATATTATTATAAATTCAAAGGTGTTCAGACTTTGTTTTGACTATGCTTGTTGTTCACCATGGAATGATACCACCGTACAGTCTACTGTCGCTTGAACATGAATTGTTTGTTATTTTATTATTAAAATACTTTTCAATTCGCTAATCTAATCGTATGCTTGGTCTAATAAGTTTAAGGAAGGAAAGAGCTTTTTTTATAGTATAGTGATCTATATCTAATCAGTGCAGCCCAGCTATGATAGAGGCTCCCTGTCATAACTTACTATAGGAATTATTAGCTGTTATTATTATTATTAATGTAATTAATATTTTGATAGATCAGTTACTATTGATGATGCATATATGTATAAATCGCATTGTTGAATATCAGCTCGGATTACATAGTTAGACGTTATTGTATTTCCAAAGTTATTTGTGTACGTGATACATGTATCTTTGTTTATATAATAGTTTGTTTTGTTTTCATTTTGTTATCTCGTAGAATGGCTAGTACTCTGTTACCAGAAATACAGCTAAAGGACCCGGTACAGGATTTTGAACTTTTGTCCCAGATAGGGTCCGGGGGCTATGGAGTAGTATATAAGGTAAGTTTTTTTTTTGAAAATATTATGAAGTAGTTTCAATGCCCCCATTATATTTGTAGGCAAAGACTGTGTCTGATGGTCAGTTATGTGCATTGAAAATTATTAAGATAAAGGCTGGTAAGAAATAAGAGTGTGTGTGTGTGTGTGTGTGCTGGTAAAGAGTAGGAAATTTGTCAATGAATTTGTAGCTATGTGTGTGGTAGTTACAGCTACCTACTAGCTTGTAGTAAAAACACATGCCCAGAATTACTATTTTTAGTCTTTGTAATAATACAGCAATAATAATAATAATTAAATAATAAAGCTGGTATTAATGTTGCTATTTGTGATATTTCTTACATGTACATGTAGGTGAAGATTTCAATCTGATACAGAAGGAGATTTCAATTCTCTCTCATTGTAAACATCCGAATATCGTTGGATATTATAGCTCTTACCTCAGGTACATTTTACTATAGAAAATAGCTATTACATGATATATCATTAAAGTATATGTACATGTACTGTACAGGATATAATGTATCGAGACATAAATTTTATGAAAATGAGTCCAAAAGACATTCGCAGTTCTTATTTATGTAAATCCACTGCAACAGACCAATAAATACTGTATAACCAGTTATTTTTGTGGGTTGCAAATTTCGTGGATTTACTTTATCCGCGAAGTCCCTGAAATTTGTGTCCCGTGAGCATTATGCCTTATATGGTATATGACCATGTGCAGACATTGCACTATGTTACTCATTTTTCTCCTTTCCCTCTCTTTCTCTTTCTCTCTTATAGAAAGGATAAGCTTTGGATATCAATGGAGTTCTGTGAAGCTGGTTCCTTGTACAACATGATGCATGGTCTGTTGCAATCTTCTTTCTTATTATTTCTATAGTTAGCTTCTTTTACTTTTAGTTCAGCACTCTGGTTTAAACGAGCTACAAATTGCTTTCGTTTGTAAGGAAACACTTCAGGTTAGCCATTCTCCCTCTCTGTCTCTGTCTCTCTTTCTCTCTCTCCCTTTCTCTCTCTATTTCTCTCTCTTTCTCTCTCTATCCTTTTTCCTGTCCAATTTTATTGTATCATGTTTACTTTGTGTTTAGGGTCTTACTTACCTTCATGAGAGAAATATTCTTCATCGCGACATTAAAGTAATCGTATATTAATTAATTAATTAATTTATTAATTTATTTATTTAGAGTGCTAATATATTATTGACTCACGACACTGTAGTCAAATTAGGTAGGAGCTAATAATTATTAGTTGTTTGTATTTGTATTTGTATTTGTTGTTGTTGTTGTTATTTTTTTGTGTATGTAGCTGATTTTGGTATTGCTACTCAATTGACACAGACAATGGGGAAAAGAAAGACATTTATTGGGACGCCATATTGGTTAGTGGAACTGGACATTTTATGTACTCCTCTCATATCTCTGTTATACCTACAATCTTCTTCTTGTCCTCAGGATGGCTCCTGAAGTAGCAGCTGTTGATAAAAAAGGCGGTTACAATCAGAAATGCGACATATGGTCATTGGGAATTACTGCCATTGAATTGGCTGAAATGCAGCCGCCCATGAATGATCTTCATCCATTCAGGTCTGTTACTATTAATATCCTTTGGGTACATGTAGGACGTTACTATTTTTAGAGCACTGCAACTCCTCACGAAGCGTGCATTCCAGCCGCCTGGGCTCCAGCATAAGAACAAATGGAGCAACAATTTTCACGATTTCATCTCGCACTGTTTGAAGAAAGATACCAGCAAAAGACCCACTGCCAGGGATCTTTTAAAAGCAAGCACTTGTTATATAGTTAGCAAAACTATATTATTATTTTTATGTATCGTAGGATGATTTTGTTAAACGGGATCTGTCTGGTTTATTAATGGGGCCTTTGATGAAAGCATTTGAAGCGTCTTCAACCGCTTCAGCACCACCTGATGATCAGTCAGATTTCGAACTAGGACAACCAAGAAAAGTTGGGATAAATTTCATCACCTCTCTCTCTCATTTTCTTTTTTTTATTTTATTTGCCATGTACACTATTAATTATTTTATTCTTTTTTTTTAATTAGAGGATTGCCTCAATTGCTAGAAAGAAGACTGCAGGTCAGGCCTCTACACTAGCAAGTCAGTCAAATTATAAGCTATTGTAGTGTCATCATCATCATCATCATCATCATCATCATCATCATCATTATTATTATTATTATTATTATTATTATTATTATTATTATTGTTAATTATTATTATCATGATTATAAATAGATTCAGAGAATTATTATTATTATTATTATTATTATTATTATTATTATTATTATTATTATTATTATTATTATTATTATTATTAATTGTTATAGTTCCAGGCCTCCAATTGACTCCAACGAAAGGAACACTACAAGAAGCAATTGTACTAACGCCACATTTACCAGACTGATTTATTATTCATTTTATTATTATTTAGCCAGCCTGGTTAGAAGTGGTAGCTGAATCTAACGACAGGAAAGGAATAAAGCCAACTACTTCTCCTCCATGGTATGTTTGTAATTTTTTACTACCTTATGTTATGCAATAATTTGATTATATTGCATAAATTGCGAAGGAGTTTCCTCCAAAATATGTGATATGCATGTAGTTTGTCTTAATAATTGAATGTTGATAATCATAATTAAATAATAAATTATTATTATAATTGTTATTATTATTAGTACCTCTCCCGTTGATACTACTCTGAGGTCAATAGCTAATGGAGGAGTGGCTAATGGAGGAGTAGAAGAGAGAGGAAGGGCTTGTTTCACTAAAATATTCAAAGGATGTCCTCTTCAAGTCCACTGTGCAGGATCATGGATCCATCCTATCAGAGAAGGTAATGAAAATAAAAGTCTGTAAATATTTTAGACTATTATTATTATTTTAAAAAAAATAATAATTAAAATGATGATGAGAAATTAATAATAATAATAATCATAATAATAATAATTATTATTATTCCCAATTTACATGTACAATATGTACTCTTGTACATGTAATTTATTTGTGATTTATTTGTCTCTTTTTTTTCTAGTTCTTTTTGTGTTGCTTGGAACCCAGGAAGGTTTGTTTTACTTACAAGTTAACAGAGAGGGCGATCCAATCATAGAGCAGGTAGGTACGTGTATATTCTGACTTGTTGCTATTAGTTTTGGTTTTTTATGTGAAGATGTCTCCAAGGAGTTGTCTTTGGTTACGGGTTGTTGAGAATGTGCTCGTATGGCTATCAGGTTAATTAGAAAATTAATTGCTACATTTATTTTTGAGTGTGCATATTTTTTATTCAAAATTTGAGTTACTAGTGAAGGACCAATTTCTTTTTTTAATAATACATATTGATGTCCTTATACTGTGTATAAAGTTTTAGCTGATACCGACTGATATACTTTGAGTTATGGTCATTTTTTAAAAAAGGACCAAATTTTTGGAAAAGAGCAAAGGCTATAGCCCATGGTTTTTTCCAAAAAATGGCTCCAAAATCATTCCCAATTTTTGTTACATTTTCTGATGCATATTGATGTCCTTATGCTGTGTAGAAAGTTTGACTCTTCCTATATTTCAGATTCAGACCATATGATATCAATGACAAACCTCATATTACTCTTTCAAAATGAGCAAGAGATAGCAGCTAGAAGAGGAGGAGGAGGAGGAGGAAAAGATGGAGAAACTTTCAGGTGAGAGATTATTATTATGATTTAGATCATATGAAGCAACCAGTTAACTACATGTATGATAGTGTTGAATCACCAGCTGTATTATTATTGTTATTATTATTATTATTATTATTATTATCATTATTAGGAGAAATAGAAGGATTAGGCACTCATCAAAGATAAAGGACTCAATAGGTTGCTTCAAGTGCAGCATAGGTAACATATTAACACAGACTACACCTTTATTATCAACCAAAACTAGCAAAGAATAGTGAAAATTAAATGTTATATGATACACATATATTCATGCATATATATATATAACTGCATGTAGTATAGTATAATATATTAACAAGCTAATTTATTTATAGTTGTCAATCCTTACAATAAGGAAAAGTATTTGATTGCTGCCGTGCCTAAAGGAATATTATTAATGCAGTGGTATCAGATTAGTCATGCGTTTATGCTCGTCAAACTCTTTGAGTGCTCTCTGCCTTCACCCCTGGTTCTCTTTGAGGCTTTTGTGCTCACTCAAGAAGACGAATATCCAACTATTTGTGTTGGAGTGAATACTTCGTGAGTTTTTAAAGATATTTTTTCCATGCGTGTTTATGAGTATAATCTTGTTTCTTGTTCATTCTAGTACTGGTGATAATGTACTGTTTAATACCATATCTCTTAATCCAAGCAGCTCCTCCATTACTGTATCTCATAACAGTGACATCACGAAACTCGAGCAAGTTGAGAAAGATACCATATTAATACTTGATTCTCGTATCCTCACCTGTTGGTAGACACAATGTACTGTCAATATGCTAATTGTGTAATGCTTGCTGTATTGGTCTTTCCTTGACTTTTTTATTAAAAGATTGTGCCAAGTTTGTAGATATTTCCGGATCTCTTAAAGCACCTGAGGAAAAGATGGCATCATCTCTGTACTTTGATAAAGAATCAGTCATGATGGGTAGGTAACTAGGTATAGAGAGAGAGGGAGGGGAGAGAGAGAGAGAGAGGGAGGGAGGGAGGGAGAAGGGGGAATAAAAGATCAAAGAAAGGCCTCACAAGATTTATTTACTCTAGTGTATCTACAAAACTATGTGCTAAGCTTCAATGATCATGGCTTGCAAGGAAAATCGTTGCTAACAGAACAAGTCACAGCCGAAGTGATTGATCATTCCAAAAAGTTCAAGCTCTTGTGCTCTGACGGGTAAGTAGTCTTTGTCTTTTATTTTATATTAAAAGTTTGTTTCGTTAGGACAATTATTGTTGAGACAAAACGAGCTGATAATCCATCGTACCCTTCTAGTTTATATTTACTGGAATCAGAAGAAGCAACTTGATTAAAAATTTTTTTCTTATTATTGATTTTTATGTAACTCTCACACATGTAAGTCACTTTTATCAAGTTTTATTATTACTACTATTATTATTATTATTAATATTATTTATATAACGCATAACTGTGATTGAAGCTAAGAAATGAGGACAATACTGCTTTAAGTTGTTTGTCATGCTTGCTTCCAATTGCATTCTGGACATTCTACAACTTGCAGCTTAATGGAACACATTAGTGCATCTCACTTCACTATGTTATGCATAAAAATTTATAGTACTATTTCTAATGCCAGATCCATTACAACATGCAATAAGATCTAATGGAGATGCACTATGTTATGCAAAAAAAACAATTTAGAGCACTATCTTTTGAGTAGTACCAATTAATTATCCACTCTTGCTATTACTATGCTATGTAGACATAGTTGGTTTTGGGACATTGTAACTCTAAGACTTAGTGCTTTAGGACACACACAGTCCAAAAGAATTTAGGGAGTGGATGCTAAACTCTACTAGATGTTATTTCATGAGCACTCATAAATGTCCTTCCGTCTGATTATGGTGCCACTTTGTCTGACATAACTATTTCCTTCTTGTTCCAATACCTACAAACAATCAAGAGTGGATAAGTCCCAAATATTTTGTTACCTTAAAGCAAAAGTATTATGTACTCTTGCTTAAAGTATAATGACGCATGTTAGCAATGCATATTTCTTTGGATGACTGCTGATCTTATGCAATGAGAAATTAAGGCTATGCAATATTTTACATGCATCATTCAAAAAATTAGACATAATGCTTGTTATCAGTAGTGTATTCTCATTGTCATGCAAAATAAATTTTACTTGGATTTCAAATTCCTATCAAATTATGTTTGTAATTGGAATGACTACTCATGCCATAGATTGGTACTATTATGTAAGCTAATGTAGTATTGACTATTTGTGTGGGATGAGAATACCGTCAAGCAACAGGATTAGTTATGCTATGTGGAATTATGCATCACATTTAGTATGTTGTGAGTACTATACTTAGTACTTCTAATGCACCATAAGTAGCTAATGAGCATCTGCAACTTACTCCCACTAACCTAATTAAGTTATAGCACTGGTTATATAAGGCTGAATTTCACACAGCTAACTTTGCACCATTTTTTGGCCCGTTACAGCTGCTTTTACCTTTTTACCTTTCTCTCTAAAACTCATCTTCCAGCATGAAGGGACTCCTCATTGTTGCACTCATTTTGTTTGCAGGCAGTGCCTTGGCCCAAGGTATGCTATAGCATGCATGCATACTATTGCAGTTAGCATCGTATTCCTCCTCTAGTTGAAAAAGAAGAGACTGCACCTGTCATTGATAATACTGATACTGATACTGCAGGTATTATATGACTATAGTTTGCATGGCGTGTTTGATATTTTGCTCTCTTATAAGTTGATAATAAGGACGTACCAGAAACTAGTGAAAGTGACAGTGAGTTTACAGAAGCAGCTGAGTCTACAGAAGCAGCTGAGTCTACTGCAGAAGGTGAATTGCATGCAAAAAGGCATAATATATGACTATTATGCATGTTTTTTCTCTTATTCTTTTAGAGTTAGATAAACTCCTCAAAGAAAGTATGTTTGCATGCAAATCATTTATACATGTATATTACTGACTGCATGTTTATCCAACTCCAGGCACAATAACCAACACCATCAATGGACAAGGAATCAGCATTGGTTTAACCAATGGCAATGACATTGTCATTAGGCTTGGAGGTGGAAGAGGTATAGGTGGCCGTGGAGGAAGTGGTACTACCTATACAAGATGGGGAAGGACCACATGTCCTAGGGGAGCTGGAACTGTAAAAGTCTACGATGGATATGCTAGTGCTGGCTGGTATAGCCATAAGGGTAATGGTGCCAACTACCTTTGCATGCCTAAAGATCCACAATACCTCAGCTCACAAAATGTACCTGCTGCTTCATGGCTTTATGGAGCAGAGTACGAGTCAGGCAACAGGATATTTGGTTATACCACACAGGACTTCAATGTTCCATGTGCCGTCTGTCACTCTCCTAGATCAGCTAAGATAATGCTTCCTGGTAAATACAACTGCCCTCGATCTTGGACCAGAGAATACTACGGATATGTCATGACCAGTTACTATGGTCACACTCAGACCATTGACTATTCATGCGTTGATTACACCCCAGAAAGAATATCTGGAACCCAAAAGAATACTAATGGAGCTCTGTTTTATTTCACCACTGTTGGCTGCCGTACTGGTCTACCTTGTAGGCCATACATTCAAAATAGAGCTGTTACCTGTGCAATCTGCACAAAATAAACTTTCTGCTACAATGGACTCGTTATAATGGACTCTAAACCTCTCAATATTGTAGTGACTAGTTCTTTATCGTATTGATTGTGTTGTGTTAGATCAATAGTTTTGTTTCTTTTCCCTTTCATTTCAATAATAAAATCACATCATTTTGTGCAATCATTTTTGCAACGGTGCATTAGGATTTTTAATTCTGATACAGAAAACTACTCAAAATCAATGATTCAAGCCTGATATCTATTTTGATACAGTCCTCACTGGCATCAATGCTGAATCATGTCTGTTACTCTGGCTGAACCAGGGTCGTACTCTAGCATGGTTGCATTATAGATGGTTATTGTGATTGTATCATTATCATACTAGGCTCATTGCTTTGCAGGCTGCCCAAAATCCATGGTATATACAGGGATGTATCAAGGCTGATCCTGATTGATATCAGTCATGATTCAAATTAAAATTCTTGACTGTGTAGGCGGAATTAAAATTAAATAAAAATCAAAGGGGTGTGTCTTGATGAAACATGGCGGTTTTGCCCCAAGATCTCTCTTTGTTTTCTATATCCTTTTTCTTTCTCCAGCTCCTCGTACTGACCAGTAGTTCGGCACTGATTATAGTTAACATATTTTAATTCTCTCTCTCTATTCCCACGTTTCATTAAATCTACAAACTCCTCCCTTTCTCCTTTGTTAATAGCTTTACTTTTATCTGAGATTCACCACATCACGTGATCCAGACCTCTCTAGAGCAGAATCCGAGAAGTCGTTTCTAGATTCCAATGACGGCACTCGGAAACCATTCCCGTTAATATCAGACCCGCCCACTGTGCAACTCTCGCTGGTCGTACCAGCTTACAACGAACAGGATAGATGTGAGGGGTGTGCCTTTTTATTTTGTAATATTAATGGGTGTGGTTTGTGTTAATTATTAATTATAGTTCCGATCATGATTAAAGAAACTTTAGAGTATCTTCACAAGAGAAAGGTATTTGATCGTTTTTCACTTTAAATGTACTTTTTGTCAATATAGCAGGAAAGACAGCGAATTCACATACGAAATTTTAGTTGTTAATGATGGAAGCAAAGATAACACATCAAAAGTAAGATAGTATTACTAATTAATTATCTTACAACATGTATTAATGGATCTACGTTACTATTGTAAACCTGTTAAAAAAATTGATTGCTACATATATTTTTGAGTGTGCATACAAAAATTGGAGTTGCTAGGCTGCTAGCAAGGGACCAATTTTTTACATTTTATGATACATATTGATGTCCTTATAGTAGGCTTATACTGTGTATAAAGTTAGACTCTTCCTATATTTCAGATTCAGATCATATGATATCAATGACAAACCTCATATTACTCTTTCAAAATGAGCAAGAGATAGCAGCTAGAAGATAGGAGGAGGAGGAGGAGGAAAAGATGGAGAAACTTTCAGGTGAGAGATTTTTTAACATTATTATTATGATTTAGATCATATGAAGCAACAAGTTCACTATGATATTGTTAAATCATCAAAATAAATCTTAAATCTTGCCTGATTTCTCTCAACCTCCTTCCTCTGTCTATGTACTTTGAATATCTAGATATTTCATTTGCCCTTCATAGTCTTCGTGATAGCTCTAATCCCAACTACACTGGCTCTTTAGACATTCTCTCAGTTATATCTCCTTGAGTGGAGCAAACTCAAGAACTAGCTATCATCACAAGCTGCATCGTAGGCTCACTCCCTCGTCTCAAATTTCTGGCACCTACTTTCATAGGAATGGGTTGCCATTTTTGAACTCGTTTATCTAAGTCTTTCTCCCACTACAAACTAGAAAAGTTTTTATGGAACTGTTTTCTTAACTCTTTCAATGTCGATCACCCATGCACCTATCACTTTTATGTCCACGCAATAAATGTTCCCACTCCCTCAAAACTCCCAATTTCTCATCATTTTAATGTACATACTGTTTTATTTTAAATGTAGTGTGGTTTAATTAAAGGGCAGCTGAAATAAATTTTTGGGATTTTTCAATAATCAAGTTACAGACTCACAGTATTTATACTACAAATGAACAACAGCTATTTCCATCAAAAACTCTTTCACTTGCAAGAAAATGCTCTCCTTTTTGTTGGCAGCCATCTTCTTCCTGTTTAAGCAACAATGCGGGGGGGGGGGGGTGCAATTTGTGATGTCATCAGATTAGGCTAGGGCTGAGCTGAGGCTATTATTCTCAAAAAATCAGTCATTATTCTATTCTGTTATTCTTGGAAACAATGTTCATTATTTCCAAAAAATTATCTATTATTCCCTATTATTCCCACCTTAAAACCATTTATTCAAAGATTTTGTCAGTTCATATAGCTAGACTGACTAGACTGAGCTAATTACAAGTTCTTCATAGTTAATTAACTATTATTATCTGTTATTACTAGTTAGTTAACTATTATTACTAGTTAGTTAACTATTATTAAGAATTTTTCATAAATATTAATTATTTTTGCTGCAAACCACTCCCATTATTCCTAAACTCCACCCACTATTCTATTTTCAAACTATTATTCTACCCAGTTAAAATTTAGACCAATTATACTTAAAATTATTCCTGAATAATAGCCTCAGCCCTAATTATGGCTGTTTCTTGCATCACTTTTATGCAGAAAAAACTTGTTGCTACAGACCATTGTAATAAAATATAAAAACAAATTTAGTATAATTTGTTTCCAAATGATTTAGTCAAGTGACTGCTACATAAAAAGAGCGCTTTGTTTGTCCTGACTACTTGTCTCTATTCCCTATTTTTAGTTAATAAAATCACATATTTGTTATGACATTATCATTTGGAAATAAATTATACTAAATTTGTTTTTATTTTTTATTACCATGCATGGCCTGTAGCTGTAGCAACAAGTTTTTTCTGCATGAAAGAGATGCAAGGAACAGCCATCAATTCATCTGATGACATCACAAATTGCACGCCCCCGCATTGGATACCAAAGTGGATACTTCTATAAACGAATGATAAATCTTATGAAAATGCAGCTGCTGGATTAGTGTAAACACCTGAAACGATAATAGCAAAAACAACCCTGATTTAGTGAAGTGGATTAGTGTAAACAGGGTCTTATGAGGGGTCCGCAACGAGACCCTCAAGTGTACCAGATTTATAATCCCGGCTAAAAAAGCTACTTGGATTTTTACCGGATTCTCTAGGATTTTTGGATTTTTGGCAGATTTCAGTGGATTTTGGATTATTTTCTTGGATTCTTGGATTATCTTGATACTCTACTGGATTTCAAGATTATTTTGGATTCCTGGATCATAATTTTTTGACTTTCCCCAAAGTGTACCTGATTTTTTTTTGTTGTGGACCCCTCTGGGTCTTAAACAGGAAGAAGATGGCTGCCAACAAAAAAGATGAAATGTAAAGTGCATTTTCTTGCAAGTGAAAGAGTTTTTGATGGAAATAAGTGCATAACTGTTGTTCATTTGTTGTATAAATACTGTGACTTGGTTATTGAAAAAATCCAAAAAATTCATTTCAGCTGCCCTTTATTGTTACTGTTACTTAGGCTCTCTGACTTGGTCATTGAGCCCTTCAGAGACACCTTTTCTAACTTTTGCTTTTTATTTGTTGACTTTGTCTTTGTAAAGTTATTATTTTTATTATTTAGTGTATCTACAAGACTATGTGTTAAGCTTCAATGATCATGGCTTGCGTGGAAAATCATTGCTTACACTTATAGAGCAAATCACAGCCAAAGTGGTTGATCATTCCAAGAAATTTAAGCTCTTGTGCTTTGATGGGTATAAGTAGTTGTTGTTTTATATTTTATGTTAAAAGTTTGTTTTATTAGGGCAATTATTGTTGAGACAAAACGAGCTGATAATCCATCGTACCCTTCTAGCTTATATTTACTGGAATCAGAAGAAGTGACTTGATTTTTAATTTTTTTATTATTGATTTTTATGTAACTCTCACACATGTAAGTCACTTTTATCAAGTTTCATTATCACTATTATTATTATTATTATTATTATTATTATTATTATTATTATTATTGCTATTATTCATGTAATGCATAATTGTGATTGAAGCTAAGAAATGAGGACAGTTCTGTTTCTGTTTGAAGTATAGTTTGTCATGTTTGATCCACTTGCAACTTGTTAGTTGACTGACTGTACTGTAGTATGTTGCTTCTAATTACATTTCTGAAAATTCTAAAACTTGCAGGTTAATGGAACACATTAGTGCATCTCGCTTCACTATGTTATGCATAAAAATTTATAGTGCTATCTCTAATGCCAGACCATTACAACATGCAATAAGATCTAATGGAGATCCACTATGTTATGCAAAAAAACAATTTAGAGCACTATCTTCTTTGATCTACTCTTGCTATTACTATGCTATGTAATTGCACAATTGGTTTTGGAACACAGTAGCTTTGAGACTTAATGCTTTATAAAAGGAGGACACAGACAATCAAAAAGAATTAGATATATATTATTACCACTTAATTGGCGATGTAATTGCATGATTGTTTTGGAACATAGTACCTTTGAGACTTAAATGATTTAAAAGGAGGGCACACACAATCAAAAGAACTTTAGGGAGTGAATGCTAAACTATACCAGATGTTATTATTATGAGTATTTATAGATGTATTTCCGTTTCATTATATGGTGCCACTTTGTCTGGCATAGCAACTTCCCTCTTGTTCCAAATACCTACAATGTATAGTCCTGAATACTTTGTTACCTTAAAGCATATGACACATGTTTGTTGCATATCTTTGCATGACTGTTAATCTTATGCAATGAGAAATTGAGTTTTACACGCATCATTCAAAAATAAGACATATGTTTATTATAACTAGTACCGTATTCCCATTGCCATGCAAAATCAGTTTGAATTTGGATTCAAATTCCTATAAAATTATGCTTGTAATTGGAATTACTCATGTGATACATTAATAATTGGTACTATTATATGAACTAATGTAGCATTGACTATTTGTGGGGGATAATATTACCTACCATCAAGCAACAGGATTGGTTATGTTATGTAAAATTATACATTGCATTTAACATGTCGTGAGTACTATACTTGGTACTTCTAATGCACCACAAGTAGCTAATGAGCATCTGCAACTTACTCCCACTAGCTTAGGTTATAGCACTGATTATATAAGGCTGACTTGCACGCAGCTAACTTTGCACCATTTTTTGGCCTACTTCAGCTGTTTTACCTTTCTCTCTAAAGCTCATCTTCCACCATGAAGGGACTCCTCATTGTTGCACTCATTTTGTTTGCAGGCAGTGCCTTTGCCCAAGGTATGCTATACCATGCATGGATACTAATGCAGCATTGTATTCCTCCTCTAGTTGAAAAAGAAGCGACTGCACCTGTCATTGATGATACTGATACTACAGGTATTGTATGACTATAGTTTGCATGGTGTGTTTGATATTTTGCTCTATAAGTTGATAATAAGGATGTACCAGAAGCTGGTGACAGTGAGTTTACAGAAGCAGCTGAGTCTACTGCAGAAGGTGATTGCATGCAAAAAAGCATAATGTACTCTTGATAATTATTATGTATGTTTTTCCTCTTATTCTTTTAGAGTTAGATAAAATCCTTAAAGAAAGTAAGTTTGCATGCACATCATTTATATATTACTGACTGCATGTTTATCCAACTCCAGGCACAATAACCAACACCATCAATGGACAAGGAATCAGCATTGGCTTAACCAATGGCAATGACATTGTCATTAGGCTTGGAGGTGGAAGAGGTATAGGTGGCCATGGCTATCGAAGTGGTACTACTTATACAAGATGGGGAAGGACCACATGTCCTAGGGGAGCCGGAACCGTAAAAGTCTATGACGGATATGTTGCTGCTGGCTGGTATACCCAGAAGGGTAATGGTGCCAACTACCTTTGTATGCCTAAAGATCCACAATACCTCAGCTCTGTGAATACACCTGCTGCTTCATGGCTCTATGGAACGGAGTATGAGACATCCAACAAGATATTTAGCGGTACCACACAGGACTTCAATGCTCCATGTGCTGTCTGTCACACTCCTAGATCAGCTAAGATAATGATTCCTGGTAAATACACCTGCCCTCAGTCTTGGACCAGAGAATACTATGGATATGTCATGACCAGTTACTATAATCATGCTCAAACCATTGACTATTCATGCGTTGATTACACCCCAGAAGGAATATCTGGCAGTCAAAAGAGTACCAATGGAGCTCTGTTTTATTTCACCACTGTTGGCTGCGGTGTTGGTCTACCTTGTGGCCCATACATTCAAAATAAAGCTGTGACCTGTGCAATCTGCACAAAATAAACTTTTTGCTACAATGGACTCGTTATGTTGGACTCTGGACCTCTCAATATTGTAGTGACTAGTTTTATATTGTATTGATTGTATTTTAGTAGATGTAGATCAATAGTTTTTTTTCCCTTTCGTAGTTTCATTTCAATGATAAAATCACATCAATTACTTGTGCAATCATTTTAGCGACAGTGCATTAAAGCATAGATATTATAGGTTACGCAGTCTATAATATCTATTGATTAAAGTTTTTTTAATTACACGTGGGCGCACATTAAAAAAAATCAAAGGGGTTAGTGGTGGGCGATACTGGCCAAAATGGATTCGATACGATACCGATCGATATCAGCTCATATCGAGAGTATCGATACAGTTTCGATACGATATTTAGACCACACCTATGGAGTCACACCCCTTATTATTGACTGTTTTCATCAATGTTTTCATGCACGTGTATCCACGTGTGTGTATTATACGTCATTAACTTATTAAAATTTTCATTATTAATATTATTTAACCATAATAAATGGGCGTGGTCAACGTATCGATCCAGATTCCTTCAAAATTTCGATACCGATACGAATCGATACCGTAAAATATCGTTTGTATCGATAAAATATCGATATATCGCCCACCACTAAAAGGGGTGTGTCTCGATAAAACATGACGGTTTTGCCCCAAGATCTCTCTTTGTTTTCTATATCCTTTTTCTTTCTCCAGCTCCTTGTACTGACCAGTAGTTCGGCACTGATCATAGTAAACATATTTTAATTCTCTCTCTCTCTCTCTCTCTCTCTCTCTATTCCCACGTTTCATTAAATCTACAAAGTCCTCCCTTTGTCCTTTGTTAATAGCTTTACTTTTATCTGAGATTCACCACATCACGTGATCCAGACCTCTCTAGAGCAGAGTCTGAGAAGTCGTTTCTGGATCCCAATGATGGCACTCGGAAACCATTCCCGTTAATATCAGACCCGCCCACTGTGCAACTCTCACTGGTCGTACCGGCTTACAACGAACAGGATAGATGTGAGGGGTGTACCTTTTTATTTGTAATATTAATGGGTGTGGTTTGTGCTAATTTTTAATTATAGTTCCGATCATGATTAAAGAAACTTTAGAGTATCTTCACAAGAGAAAGGTATTTGATTGTTTTTTTGCTTTAAATGTACTTTTAGTCAATAGCAACGAGACAGTGAATTCACATACGAAATTTTAGTTGTTAATGACGGAAGCAAAGATAACACATCAAAAGTAAGATACTAAGATGGCATCACTAATTAATTGTAACAATGGATCTATGTGTATGTTACTACTGTAAACCCATTAAATTAATTACTATCCATTAATTTTAGCTATTTTAACTATTGGCCTAATTTCATTAAAGCTAATGACTACTAATGGTTACTTTTGTTGCAAAAATCGTTGAAATTAATGGACGTTAATATGCAATGTATAAAAAATTCCATACCCACAATATAAAACGTTAATACTTAATAACATAAAGGCTGCTAAATTATTTGGGTTTACAGTATTTATAGACTGTGTCTTTCAGTAATAATATCACATTGTCTTTATAGGTAGTAATGGAGTACGTTAAGAAAGAAGGTCCTGATAGAATGAGACTGTTGGATTTCGTGAGGAACAGGGGGAAAGGAGGAGCAGTGAGAGCGGTATGGCATTAAAGATAGAGTCACATGTTAGTCACATGATTTAGGGCTGCTTGAGTGCTAGAGGAAAGAGGATATTATTTTTGGATGCAGATGGAGCTACTGATATCAAGGGACTGGATGAGTTGGAGAAGGCTATGAATTCTGTCTCATCTGATTCTGTTAGCTCTATTATTTTTGTTTACTTTTATTTATTTATAATTATTTAGACGTCTCCAGCCATTGTTGTTGGCTCAAGAGCTCATTTGGAAGATGAAGCCGTTGCCAATGTAAGTTGGAGCATGCAAGTATAGAAATTTGCAAAAGGTTTGGTTTTGGCAAATTTTTTGACTGCCAAAACCACCACCTTTTAAATTGGAGGTTACAAATTTTGGCAAATGGAGCTTAATTTGCCAACTTTATTTTAACTTTTCACCTCTCTCTCTCTCTTTAGAGGTCATTTTTTCGCAATATTTTAATGTACGGATTCCATTTCCTAGTCTTCTTTTTATGCGTCAAAGGCGTCCGTGACACACAGTGCGGTTTTAAATTACTAACACGTTCTGCCGTGGACAGGATATTCACTAATCTACACATTGAGAGATGGTAGGTGTCATTTTACTCTAACCACGCCCACATGACCACGCCCATTCACAGGGCATTTGATGTGGAGATGCTTTATATTGCTCAGTGTCTCAATATCCCAATTAAAGAAGTTGCGGTTAACTGGCAAGAGATTGAAGGTTGGTGTACATACATGTACATGTGCATGGCTTTTTATGCCCAATTATAAAAGTGTATCAATAATTATCCCAAGGCAAGTTATATATCATGATTACAAGTACCCTCGATAATCAAGAGCTTCATTTTTAGCAATAATAATATGTCCTTATAATTCTTATTTGCTATCTCATTTCGTGTCCCCACCCCATTGTCATTTTTTTCTCTTTTTCTAGGTTCTAAAATGATACCAGTTTTTAGTTGGATCCAAATGGGGCGTGACCTCCTCTTCATTAGGCTACGCTACATGTTTGGATTCTGGACAATAAAGGCTAAGACCAGCTAGATCTAGACCACGCCCACAATAGAATGATAGCAGCTGTCAGAGGTTTAACAACTTTGTTTGATCAATAATAATAATAATTTAAATTAATAATAATTATTAATTATTACATGAAATAAAGTCGTTTACAAAAAGGATGACCTGTACAGTTCTTGTTGAAAATGCACCTGTCCTGTGAAGAATATCATGACGTCAGAACATGTCACGTGACTGGCCTACCTGCCTGGGTTTTTCAAATTCTTGTTATGCTGATTTTTTCGGATTATTTGCAACTATGTAGTGATAGAGAACGACCAGTAGAAATAGAGTCACTCCTAAAACGTTTGCAAATATTGCCAGCTGGACGTCAGATATCATTGTGGAAGAATAAAGGCGGACAAAGAGATTGAGAACCAAGAAGGTGTGGCTAGAGCTATAAATAGGCGTGGTTAATTATAGCCACGCCCCCAATCTACATTTAACCCTTTGGCTGCTTTGTTTATTTTGAAAAAATGGCGGCAGTGGATCAAGACGAGTTGAGAGCAAAACTCTATTCTTCTCTACAAAAGAAAGGACTTTTAGACTCTTTAAAGGTAGGGAAGGATTTCAACTAGCATTAGTTTTTCAGTTTTCTGTAGTCACAGCTAAGAAACTCTCTAATCAGCGAGTTACAACCTCCGAGTGGGTCGGAGCCTTCTCAAAAGAGGCCATCTTCACTCCACCATCAGATAGCTAGTTATATCATTATAAACTACCTCCAGTCTAATGGATACCAGTACACACTCTCAACCTTTCTTCCCGAAGCTGGACTACGTATGGAAAAGGTGCTTAGTTTTAATTTTGTGTTACCCAGTAAATTTTGTAAAAATATTTAATTTTAGTTGTTGTCGTTTGATGATGTTTGTCAAGTATTAGGACTTACGAGTCAAATATTGGAGCCTTTGAAAGTAATAATATTATGACAATGATATAGTTGATTTATTTATTATAATTTGTAGGCTTGTGAAAATGAGCAAGATAGAAAGAGTAAGTATTAAGTGTTAAATATCTACCGTATATCGGGTATATTTCAATGCATGAAAAGTCGTGGAAATATTAAGTTCAATGATGGAATAATTCGGAAGCCTTTTATATTCCGAAAATATTTTACTTGCTATTATTTCCATCAACCACCTGGCCTGGTAAGTCAATCGAAGCATTTGCTGACTTCTCCACTTCTGAATCAACATTAGCAACACTTCTAACTGGCAAAGAAGGCTCTTTATGGCCTTCGAGTTAGACTAGAATGTAGCCATGGATAGTTATGAAGCCACATGTTCATAATAATTGCACAATACCACATATCTTCTATTCCTTTTTATCCGCATATTTTAAAATTTCATAATATTTATTTTCGCAATGGATTGCTTTTTCCGAAATTATTAATGCATTGAAATATACCCGATATACGGTATTTTGTTTTTTATTTAATCCAACTTTTCCCCCCTCTTTTTCTCTCTCTCTCTGTTGCTTATTCTTCTCTTCCCTTGTGTTCTCTGCAGGTTTATTAATACAATTACTCCATCGTCTTCCTTCTCTCTTGAAGCAAAGAAGAGACACAGTGTCCTGTGGAGTACAAACTAATGAAAGAGAAGAAGCAAAGACAGTAACTGAAAAGAAGATAGAGGAGGAGGAGGAGGAAAGAAAAGTGACTCTGGAGAAGAGGATGATTGCATTCCAGAAAAGCTGTGAAGCACGAAATAAGAAAACTATTGAACAAGAGGTATATCATTTAACTTTATATAGTACATGGCTACATGCACTCTTGTACTTATATGTACATGTACATGTACATATACGAATGAACTCTTGTTGATGGACACATTTACATATGTAATAGCTAATAACCTCATTATGGTGCATGTTTAATTACTGTTCTTCATGTGTCTCTAAATGAATGTTAAATTTCATATTTCGTTTTGTTTGTTACAGTTGAGTAGGTTTAGGGAGAAAGAGTTGTCTGTGATGAGGTTGGAAGAAAGGAACAAATATTTAAAAGAGCTTGCACAAGCAAAGGAACAAGTAAGAGAATTCCTTTTCAAAGACATCATTACAGATGCATGTATCAGAAAATGTAATAAAAATTGGGCGTGATTTCCAAGCCATTTTTTGGAAAAAAGCATGGGCTATAGTACAGGGATTTTTCCAGAAATTGGCCGATTTATAAAAATGGCCATAACTTGAAAAATTGAAGTCGGAATCAGCTCAAACTTTCTACATAGTATAAGGACATCATTATGTATTAGAAAATGTAATAAAAATTGGGCATGATTTCCGAGCCATTTTTTGGAAAAAAGCATGAGCTATAGTACAGGGATTTTTCCAGAAATTGGCCGATTTATAAAAATGGCCATAACTTGAAAAATTGAAGTCGGAATAGGCTCAAACTTTCTACATAGTATAAGGACATCATTATGTATTAGAAAATGTAATAAAAATTGGCAGTGATTTTGGAGCCATTTTTTGGAAAAAAGCATGGGCTATAGTACAGGGATTTTTTCAGAAATTGGCCGATTTATAAAAATGGCCATAACTTGAAAAATTGAAGTTGGAATTGGCTCAAACTTTCTACATAGCATAAGGACATCATTATGTATTAGAAAATGTAATAAAAATTGGGGGTCATTTCGGAGCCATTTTTTGGAAAAAAGCATGGGCTATAGTATATAGTACAGGGATTTTTTCAGAAATTGGCCGATTTATAAAAATGGCCATAACTTGAAAGATTGAAATTGGAATTGGCTCAAACTTTCTACATAGCATAAGGACATCATTATGTATTAGAAAATGTAATAAAAATTGGGGGTCATTTCGGAGCCATTTTTTGGAAAAAAGCATGGGCTATAGTACAGGGATTTTTTCAGAAATTGGCCGATTTTTAAAAATGGCCATAACTCTCAAGTTTGAAGTCAGAGTCAGTTCAAACTTTTTATATAGCATAAGGACATCAATATGCATCAGAATAGGTATAATTTATTAATTAAAAAATATGGGACGTCTAGAAATTTTACATGATAATAATGCATTGATACAGTATATTCTATTAATTTGTCTTTATTACATGTGTATGTCACAGTTGGAGTTAAAGTATCGTGAAAGACTAACATCATCAACAAGAACTGTTGAGGAGGAGAGAGAAAGACTGAGAAGGAGAGAGACAGACATAGAACAGGGACTCTACAATCAGAGGCAGACATTACTCATTGAAATGGAGAGCCTCAAACTGAGAGAAAATGAACTAACTAGACAATCTGAACTAGATAGAAGGCAAGATACACATACATGTAATTATATTTTGTACTCTCATATGTGTCTTAATTTTCAAGGTGTATTAAATTTTGTTATTTTCGTGCTCACCTTAAATCCACAAAATTTAAACCACCTCTAATGCCATTCTATTGTATTTAGACTATGGCCAGAACATGAAAATTAGCTCACACAAATATTAACTTTTGAGCACATTTTTACATGAAATTTTAAGCACTCGAAAATTTGAACGTACACGTAGTTACATTTAGTGTTGTTACAGGGCAGCTAGTTTAGAGAAAGACAAGAGCACTTCATTACAGCAACTCTTGAATGAGAAAGAAGAAATGCTAAACTCTTTAAAGAAGCAGTACGAAAAGATGGCCGAAGCAAGAGTAGAGAGGTGAGAGAAAGAGTGGGGAGGCCTTTGACTTAGATTTTTATTTTATTTTATTTTTTACTATCTTTAAGACTAAAAGTTGAACTCGAGACAAAATTTTTACAAGAAGGCAAGAAAGCAGCAGAAATGAAGGCCCAGTTTGAAAGTATAACATATATTATGACTTAATTGGTTCGAATTTCATCCGTCCTCTTTCCATAGCCCAACAGTCACTGATAGATGAACTCAGTACAAAGTACGAGAGTGTAACTGCTGAACTGGACCACGAGAGAGAAACTGCTAAACAACTGCAGGAGGAGCTTCAGTTGTCAAACGAGAAAACGAATAGCCTTTTTATTGAAAACACTCAACTGAACGAGAGACTTAAGCTTGTTAGTACATGATAATTTTGTCAATTCTTTTGAGAGCTTAATTCTCTATTGTAAAAGGTCGATAGCTCTTCTCTGAGGGAGAGATTGAGAGAGAGCGAAAAGAAGTTACAGGAACTGAGACAGCAAACTGACCAAGAGAGAACTGAATTGAAAAGAATAATATCAGGTAAGTTTTTATATATATATATATGGAGATGTTTTGAAGCAAATTTTTGAATTCATTATTATTAATATTTATTATTATTATTATTATTATCATTATTATTATTATTATTATTATTATTATTATTATTATTATTATTATTATTATTATTCAGATCAGGAGATAGCTGTCAATGATGCTAAGAACAAGTTGAGCAAAAGTGTAAAGCAACAGAAAGAAAATCAACGAAAATCGCAAGAAAAATTTAAAGAAATGCAAGCAGAGCTGACCTCCCTGACTCAAGCTAATAAGATATTAAAAGATGAAATTGCAAAGAAAGTAAATAATTTTAATTTTTGCTCATCTTCCTCTCTCTCTAGATGGATGCCATATTTAAACTCCATGATCAGTTAACTTGTATCAGTGTTGAGTATCGCTCAGCTCAGTCTCAGATCAAAGACTTGAAACAACACATTGATGGTCTCCACGATGGTAAGTGAATTAGAACCTGCTCTGCCTGTCATCCTCCTATTGTGTTTATAGTCCTAACATCAAGTGGGACCAGAAACAGGACTAAGAAAAAGTAAGACTGGGACAGCAGTTTTTTAAAGCTGGTTTTTCATTCGACAAAACAATCAAAATTGCATGAGCATTGATGCAAAAATGCTTCGAAGTTGACGCAAAATTAGCCAAAGTTTAATTTTGTGTTCATTTGCGTTGTGCTTTATGGCGAGTGTAAACCAGGCTTAAGCCATAACACAAGCTCATACATGTACATGTATATTTTTCTTTTTCTCTTTTTATTAGGCATAGTCCAAGGAGGAAGCTGACCACCAGACAGACGTCTCTCTCGACCCCGCCCACAGAGATGATGAGCCCCGCCCCTTCAATTGATATCAGTCTATTTGGAGCACCTACTAATAATAACAATGACAATGATATTAATGACTTCTCAATCACTCCTAATACTAACAATGATATAAGTTTCTCTGATTCATCTGCAATGATACTCGCCGAGGCTAGAGCTACATTCGCTAGAATGGAGAAAGAATCAGAAGTAAGAGAGAAATAGAGAGAGAGATGTAGTACAATCTTAATGGACAGTACTTAGTGTATCAATTACATTCCTTACTATTTAAAATAACCTCCACATAAAGGACACCTCTGTATAACAGGCAAACTTCTTGCCCCAATGTGTCCGTTATTTATTATTCATTTTATTATTTTAGGAGCTAGCAAGATACTATTCCGATTATTCTGCTCCCCCTCCGCCTTCCCTCCCTCATTCTTCATTATTATCATATTATCCTCCAGTTACAACAATGATGTCTACCACTAATGACAATTTACCTTATTTATCTACTCAAATTCCTTCGCTGCCAACTCCCTCTGTGACATCATCGACCACACCCTTTATATCCAATCCTATTACATCACTGACCACGCCTCCTTTACCTACACCATTGACCACGCCCAGAACCACAGCTTCATTAGTGACTTTAGTCTCGTCAGTGACCACACCCATTACAACTTCATCAACTCCACCCACTTCTACTGTATCAGCTCCTGTTGGTATAGCCACACCTCCTTCTCAAAAACCCATTAATCTCAGTAGTCACTGGACACCGAAAAAACCCCAACCTACCGAGAATGAAAAAGCAAGCATTATCCCAACAACCACTGTGAATAATCTCTTATTGGGTGGGGCAACATGTGTTGTACCGTCATCAGTGGATTTTTCTTTTGATCCTATGATAACGCCAACCAGTCAAAATAATGTAACACTATCATTAAGAAATGGAGCTCTCTGTACTACTAATACCATTGATAATTCAGGGAGGCTCCTTCTACATCCTGTATCAGATAACACCACTAATACACTTACTACAGCACATTCTAATAATGCAACTACTTCAGCTATTGGCCCTAGTCATGTTATGGTGAATGGAACTGGTGCAGGCTCAACAATATCCAATAACTGTACTAGTACTACAGGCACTACTGCCGCACCATTGTGTACATGTACATGTACATGTTCAACCATTACAGATAGTAAAGGGATATATACCACTGCATGCTCCACTAGTATTGGTACTGTTACAGTACAAGCAGGCTCTGTTAGTTGTAACAGTACTATTACTAGATCGGTAGCAACAACTGCAGTGGTTGATAACAAGCAGTATGAGAGATGGTCGATTGAGAGAGAGAAGAAGCTTAAAGCTCAGAGAGAGGAAGAGGAGAGAGAAAGGATCAAGATACAACAAGAGCTATTAGCACTCCAGCAAGAGGAAGAGAGAGGGAGAGAAGGGAAACCAGAGCCCCCTCAAACTAAAATAGAAGAGAGTAAAGATGCATCAAAAGGGAATCCTAGTGAAACTGATGATGATGATAAAAGTGAAGTTAAATGGACAATGGCACAATACATGTCATCAGTTAAGGATCATTCCAATAGTAACCATTACCAGACAAGAATCCATCAAGTAAGTGGAAGAGTATGGAATTTTAATGATCCAATTAATATCAGTCGCCTTTATTCTTTATTTACTGCAATTGTGTGTGTTCAGTATACACCCAGACCAGCCTAATTCATTAGGCTGGGCCACTGCCCAATATTTCTGGTCTGATTATACACTCTTTATGGTGTCTGTAATGTATTTATGTGTACAGTCTGCACTTTAAGGCATCTCGTGGGTTTACCCCTCTTCTTCTCTCTCTTTAGAATGAAGATGAAGTTTTAGATCTTTTATCTGCCCCAACTGAAAGGTAGTATACAGATTTGTAGCATCATAACCTTATTCTCTCATTCCTTTTTAGTGATGAGGGATCTGACCCATTTGCTAACTGGTAGATGCATATATATAATATTTATCTTTATGTAACATGTATGTATGCACATTTATATCTAATAAAACATTTTTATACAAAAGAGAGAGAGAGAGAGAAAGGCAGAAGTCAAATAAATATGTATTTAATGAGGCCTATATTGTATAGAAAAAGACTGTCTTTTAATCAGAGAACTTGTTATTTACAAAACTACAAGACACATAATAATAATAATAATAATGATTAAAAAGGTTTGTTTGTTCCTGTGTAACACTCTAAAAGCATTCATCAAGCCAACTGTCATCTTGTTTCTCTTGTGGGGACTGTTTCTTGCCCCTCCCTCCACCAGACTCTGTTCCCCTTGGACTCTTCACAACTTTACCCCCGGCACGTGGGGACATCCCTTTAGTTGACTGGGCAACAGGTAAGATACGCCTCCTCTGTGGCTGTTGCCCTGACAACGAAGCACCTCCTCCTTGAGACGGATTCAAAGGTCTCGCTATTTTGATACCGGGGGATAGTCCCTTCGCTCCCCTTCCTCTCGGAGAAATACCCGATTGACCTGTGGGCGTGGTTTGAGCACTCATTCTGGGGGTATGACTAGTGGGTGTGGTTTGAGCATTCATTCTGGGGGTGTGACCAGTAGGTGTGGTTTGAGCACTGCTTCCCCTAGGAGTGTGACCAGTAGGTGTGGTCTGAGCAGTTGCTACTCTAGGAGTACTAGTTGGTGTATTCTCTTCATTAGCACTAGGCTGGCTTCTCCTAGGTGATGGTGGGCGGAGTCTAGGAGTGACCGGTTTGACGGGTGAGGTATAAGGAGAGGTCCCTCCCCCTCCTCCGTCTGCCTGTCTCTGCTGCCTCAGAGGAGACGGGAGTCCCTGTCTAGAAACAGGCGATCGGAACTGACCCCGCCCACCAATGGATGGGTGCGGCATCTGAGGCATTTGCCTCAACTGAGCTTGATGAGTTGAATACCGAGATTGTCTCGTTTGTTCCGGTGATCCTCTAGGACTAGTCGGTGACTGAGTCCGAGTCCTCTTACCCTCGTCGCCGGAGGACGGAGAAGGGTTCCTATTCGTTGGAGTCCATTTTATCTTAAGATTCTCTCCGGGGTCTATTGGTGACATTGTCCTATCGCTAGCTGAGCTGTCCCTCCCTCCATCGTTATCCGGTCGCCTCGAGTACACCTTCGGCTTATCTTTAGTAAAAGTTCCACTACGTTTCACAGTAGCTCCTCCCTTTTTCTCATCTTCCTCCTCCTCCCCCTCCTCCTCTCCCTTCTCTTCTCCCCTATCTCCCTCTTCTTTCTCTGTTCCTCCAATGGCCGTGTACGTTCCTTTCCTCTTAATCTTACGATGCTGCACCTCTCTCTCCTCCTCCCCCTCCTCCTCTCTCTTCTTTTCTCCCCTATCTCCCTCTTCTTTCTCTGTTCCTCCGATGGCCGTGTACGTTCCTTTCCTCTCAATCTTACGATGCTGCATCTCTCTCTCCTCCTCTCCCTCCTCGTCCTCAAGAGTATAAGTCCCTTTCCTCCGAGGTGGTTCTTGGGTTGGAGTGCTCTCTCTAGTAACGTTTATCGGTCTTGACTCTTCACTAGCATCAGGTACTTGCTTCACTGCCCACTTCCTCTGAGGAACCTCCTCTTCCTCCTCCTCTTTCCCCTCGTCCTCATTATGATCAACCACTTGCTTGACCTTCCATTTTCTTTGCAGATTAGGTATGACCTCGTCTTGCTCTCTCTCGTCTTCATTCGGGCCGGGATCAATAACTTGCTTGACCTTCCATTTTCTTTGTAGATTAGGTATGACCTCATCTTGCTCTCTCTCTTCTTCATTCGGGCTGGGATCAACAACCTGCTTTACCTTCCATTTCCTCTCTTCTTGTGGACTGGACTCGCTCGCCTCGTCCCCTCCTACTTCACTATCAGGGACTTGCTTCACTTTCCACTTATTAGTTGGAGGTGGCGTACCACGAACTTGCTTTACCTTCCACCTCCTTGGCTCCTCCTCCTCCTCTTCCTCTCCGTCGCTTGTCACTGCAGCCTTTGAAGGATCCCATCTTTTTACTTTTAAAGAGCTGGAATCATTATCTCTATCACTTCCAGCGGCTCCGATACCACGAGGAGCCTGTGCTGGCACTACTGGTCTTACGGGAACATTACGAGCTTTCTTGGTAAATGTGTCCGACTTGCGAACGGTTGGTACAGGTGAACGGGACGGAGAGGGACCTCCCCTCTCAGAAGAGCTGTCCTCAGACTCGCTTAGTGAATTCCTCCTTCTCCTCACTTCATTCAAATACTCTAAAAAGTAGAGAAAAGGACTTATGTATTACATACCATCATTAATGGTCACATGACAAGAATATTATAAATTATATTATATCATAGTTCTGTCTATGGTGGTCGGGCAACCACCTCAACAAATAAACCAACCAGTTCATCACTTAGACCAACCATGCAATGAATACTAATAACCATACTTAATATTCTAAAGTACTGATTAGGCCACTCACTCTGTGCTGTTTTATTAGATGGAGAAGCTCGTCCGCCTTTTGACAGTTCTACATGAAAGAGAAATGATAATAGGAGGGAGTTGTTGATAGGTTGTAAGTAAAAGGTGATTATTTAACTTTAAAGGGACGACAAGAAAAGCTATTTTATAGAAGAATAATTAAAAGATGTTATCGCTGACTATAACGGTTGTCAAAAATAAGCAAAAACAACGTCATGTGTCACAACTTGTACTGAAAAAGACTAAAATGGTCAAAATAACATGATTTGCAGCTAGTTCACACACAAACACAAACAAGCATAATAGAATGCTTGCTGCTCACACTTGTCAAATTATCAATATATATATATTTTATTAAAAAAGACACACCCAGAGGTTTTAGTCAAAAATGACTAAAAGAGAATTCTCTATTTTTACAATTTTATCTGATCCATATACAGTACATATTTTTACATCAAAAATGGTTAGGGGAGATTTCTAATTTTCTGATATAGAAAGTTCGAGCTGACTCAAATCAAAATTTGAGCATTTGACTTATAAGTTTTAAAACTAACTTAGCAGTGCGGGGTAATCCCTGAACATGTCCACATTATTACATCATCTATCATTAATGAATGGCTTTTGGCCATAGGTACATACATAATAGTGTTATAAATATTTTGAGCTTATTAAATTGCAATAAATGAGACAAAACACAAGGAGCATTGGGTCAAAACACTAGTAAACACTAACACCTAGTTAAGGATGTGATGTGGTGCATTTAACTCAATTTCAAAAGATAAGACTTTCCAACTGGCATTCACAACAAAAAAACAATAAATAAATAAATAAATAAATAAATAATATAATAAATTAAGTAAAGTGGGTTGATTTAAAGCCATATAGGCAGTGCATGGAAGACCTAAGGTGAAGCTAAGTTTGCAATTGATAATAATAAAAATTGATTAATAAATAATAATGAATAAATAAGCCAACGATTACAGCCCATCCCATGCACTACTATAATAAAGATGTGGATACTTATTTTAGTTATAAACTGGACAAGGAATGTGACTTACCAAAAGAAATATTTATGAATAAATAATTTATTCAATTATTAAATAAATAAATGATAACAATAGACTAACTTGATGAAGACATTTTTGGCACTACTTCTGTTTCGCTCATGGCAAAAGCGAGTGAGGTCTTGATGTCTTGAAAGGATTGCTCCCTGTATGACGCTCTCTGTCTCATCTTCCCTTCTGAGAGCCATTGTGACGGACTTATCTTCTTATGCTCTTTTGTGGGTGGGCGAAGTGGTGACACGTATAACCTAATAGTGACAGCCATGAATAATACAGCAGATATTTTAGATTTTTTTGTTTTGTTTAAGAGCCCACGGTCAAGTATAAAGAAAACATCATGAAATGTTGAGTAAATGTAAATTGCTTCAAAGTCCATTAAAGGTAAGCGTAAATGTATTACATTTTATACTTTTTAGAGCATATTATTAAAACCACACCCACGTGACCCAACACAAGAGTAATTATCATTATTATTGTTATTATTTTCATTACCACATGTCGTCTTCCGTTTCTTTGTCACTAATCATTTCTAGAATGTCATCATTGTCTTCGAGGCTGATGGGCGTAGTGACCCGGACGTTCCCATTAAGAAGAGACGAGGAACTACTATCATCATCATCTCCTCTACTGTTGGACATTTGATTCATAAGTTCTTCTTTCTCCAGCTTTAATTTCTTTACCATATCCTCCAGCACTTTCATCCTCGTAGATTCCTCTTCTCCTCCCCCTCCATCTGCCCCGTCTTCGACCATTAGGGCGGCAGGAGGATCTAGACCAGAAGGAGAAGTCGCCATGATTAGGTGATTATTTTTAGTTATTAATTTAATGTTATAGATAGGCGTGGCCGGTACTAGTGAGCCCACGTGTATACACGTGGGCAATGTAGGAAAGGAAAAATTCCATTTGCTAAGCTTTGATATATTACAGCAAAGAGATTAGATAGGGACTTTCAAAGAAGTCATAGTTTTAGTTGCAGTGATTACAGTAGTAGCTCTATAGTAGTAGCTCTACGAGTGTAGTGAAGACGTTCAAGTTTCATCGTATACCCCATAACGAGTGGGTGGGTAATAGATCTAATATGGGCTTGGCTTGTTGTTTTTATAATGACTTCCTGAAGACGTCACGCTCTCCTGCTCATGCTTTCTCCCCTCTTTTTATCATTGCTCGCCCTCTTAGAGTCTAGCATTTGCAAGTATAGCGCCTGAGTGGAGAAGAACAGAAGAATACAAAGCACCAGGACGCAGTTTTTAACCAATCATAACTCTTCCTACAAGAGCTGCAGATAAAAAGATAAACAACAGGTAAAATAGGCTTGACTTGTGATATCTGTGCAGCTCAAAACCCTTGTTTTGAGGGGGTGGTTTTTTTTGTCTGTGTGCCGGCCTTGAGAGAATCAGCTATCATGTCATTGCACTGTACAGAGCTGCTTCTTACTGTGTATAGATTTACATGACAAATATTGTATGTAGAATGTAATTATTGTAAGACTATTCCCTATGCACCATCCTTCTGCTTCTAGAATAGCTATGAATCCTCTTTAGGTGTACTAAGTTTGTAAAGCTGTCACAACTGGATGCATTCCAACTGTGAGGGAGTATGATTTTACATTAAGAGAGAGAGAGAGACAGTTACAGTGTTATAAACAGTGCAGTGAGTACTATAGTTAGGGGTGAGAGAGAGTGAGTGTGTGATAAACATCTGCCTTCTCTGTTGTCACACGAGTAGACACTCTCATCCCCTCTCTTGTTTTCACGTACCAAATTGCATACCCGCAATATAGTTGATCTATTATGTTTAAGTAATTTTTTTAAATTATTATTCCGAATTTGGTCAATCAATATTATGATATCAGGATTCATATCAGAAATTTGATTGCTTCTCTGATGTCTATACCTCTTCCTTCCCTTCTCCCTCCCTCCCTCTCTCTCTCACTCCTATCCTCTGGCTTCCAATGATAAACTTCATTAGCACTTGGTGTTTATATACCATCACTGCCTTTTTTAGATGTTTATCATGCATACATCACTAAGTTAGAGGTAATGTTAGTAGGGTGCACACATTAATGGGCCTACATGGATTACCCTTTCTCATCCTTTACAGTGAAGGTTCATCATCAAGTTTCCTGTCTGGAATGGCTAATAAGCAAAGCTACTGACTAGACACAAGTTATCTTATTTTGTTTGGTGTCTGTGATGCATTTAAAGTGTTTGTGTATATATCAAGTGAAGTAATAGCCCGGGCTACCTATTACTACACTAATAATCTTTTAACCAGTTCATCTTTGTTTATCCTGTCATTGTGGTATTTCACTGCTTGTACTGCTAATTTAAATGTACATGTACATTAATATAATTTATGTTATTGTTTGATGTGTGAGGAGCATAAACTTTAATTTCCTATTGTTTTGTATACATATAATACTATATCGTTTGATATTCATGTGTAAATACAATCCTGGTACATTATTAATAATACTCCTGTGTAGTTTTATACTAGTTCAGTATGTTTATCAAAGGCATTATTTGTGTAATAATCTGGCTGCTTGTAAATTATTTTTGCCAATTAATTCTGACCTTTAACTTCTAATTGTACCCTTGTGAATTGGCATGAATGCTTGCATGTGTTGTAAGCTCTGATCTCAAATTGTTAGTTTGAAAACTTCCTTATTTCTTCCATCCTCCCAATGTAAATATTGACCCCTGGATCATGCTGTATTTTTAGTACTAAAATGCTTTAAATGCTGTTTTAGTTTGATTTTGATTTGTTGCTAGATATTTATGCAAAAACATTTGCCAAAAACTTGGGAAACTTCACACAAATATCTTGTAATTTGAGATGTAAATTTTACATAAGAAAAAGAAATGGTATATCCTTTTTACATTGTAATTTAAGCTATTATGTAGTAATGCTAGCATTTGATATTTTTCTATTGATACTATTATCTTCACTTGTGCAGGCTCTTCAATGATGTCAAGTAAACGTTCACTTGGCAATGGTAACATGTCATCGGTTTCTTTAATTTCACTTACCATTCCTGTCTCTGAGCCCAACAACCACAATAACAGAGTGAGTAATGTGCTGTATATGTACTTTAGGTAACATCTACTCTTGGCAATAGGGTAGCATAGTAGTTATAATGCTATGTAATACCATAGATCAGGAAAAAAGGCTACGTTTACACAGCAACGCAAAACTCATCGTTTTTAAAGTATCCACTTTGAACACAGTTTTTATTTCGATAGAGTTCGATAGAGTTCTATCAAGATTCTATCATGTTTTCATTCGTTCCTGTGTAAACAGAAGCATAAAACAGGCGCAAAACTATACGGATTGCATCGTTTCCGTTGCTGTGTAAACGTGGCCTTAGTGTGATAGAAAATTTTTGTGTTTTAAAATTGTGCTGTGATATAATTTTTACTAAAAAAGACTGTGTCATGTATTATTGAATGTGGCATGTAGTTATATGGGTGATCTATTTTTTTTTGCAAAATTCTAATCCAGTAAAATTTAAATCACAGTCAAAATTTCAGATTATACCAAAAGTACTTAATAGATAAAGATATTGCATATACATGTATTTTAACTCTTCCTATTACTTTAATTTCATACTTCTTGCATATATTATGACTTACTCTGCTATAGTCTGCATATTTTATTATTTTTAAAATCCTTTTTAAGGTCTGCCGTGTAAATAATTATTCTCCAGCTCTGAGTTTGGAGGATCTCCTATCGAGTGGATCCATTTCTCCAGTTTACAATAAAGGAGGAAGGATTTGGAAAACTAGTAAGCTTGAAGTCTTGAAATTGTAGCCCAAATTTTGTCTCGGGCTTCATTGTTTAAAATGCTTTTTGACCAACTGGCATCAAAAGCATTTATAATTCTTTTTATAATTTTATTATTAGCAAATAAGTTGTTTTCTGACAACAAGCCACCTCATGCAGTGGCCATTAGTTTGTTATGCCCATTAATTAATTTCATTGCTGTGATTATGTGGAATTCATTTTTTGGGGCACATTAAAAGCCAAGTATCAAAGGATATAGGAATTCCAACTATGCAGTAATAAATTTTTAATTATTAATAACGAGTGGGCGTGACATCGCGTCTCGGAACAGTTTTTGGTGCGAGAAAAGAAAAGAGAGAGCTAGCTCAAGGCTTTACAACATATCTAAGCAGCAAAAACTGTAGTAGATAGAAAATGGAGGCAGAGAATGAGATAGATTTCGTCAATCCTGTTTTCATGTGGCTCTCGGCCTTGGATCCGTCCGCTGACTGCTCACCGTCCACCATGCCTGGTCGAGGGAACAAGGCAGAAAGACCCCGATCCTTGATCCCTCCATCTTCTCCTTTCCTTCGCGCAAAGACAGCACTAAAGAGGACCTTTAGCAGCGGCCACTATGGGGAAATGAGCAAGGCTAGAAGTAGGTTTAGCGCGTGTTTTCTTGCAGCCAAAGCAAGCTTGGTCTGTGCCCAGGTGTGAAAGAGGAATGGATACTTTCACTTTTAATTTCTCACTTGACTTGTACTCTTTCTTTATCTAGTCAGGGAAGCTCAGGACGCTTGCATTTGGCTGAAATCAGCAGGATTTCCACAATACGTCCAGCAGTTTGAAGGTAGGCATCATCAGTATTTATTTATTTATTCATTTATTTTTGTTATTCTCTTGCCTTTTCTTTGCTATCTTTCCCTCTAACTTTCTCTTTCTATAAAAAAAGGAGGGGAGTTTCCCATCAACGTGACGGCTATGCAGGTGGAAAAAGACCACCAGTTCCTTGACTTGCCCTCCATTGAAGCACTAATAAAGTAAATACAATTAAGTACAAGGAATTTGAATGTTTAAGTACATGAAATCTTTTTGTGTCAATTTGTACGCCTGCATTAATAGCAGTCTGTCGACTTGCATTGGAAGCTAGTATTCAAAACAATATTAGCATAATAGCTTCTTTATTATTTATTATCTGTATAGCTCGTATCATTGTTGTTTTTGTTGTGACCTTAACAATTTCATTTAGTTCCAAAGTTTGGGTTCTGTGTCATTTTTCATTTTCCTGTTTCCTTACACTTGTATTACATGCATGAATGCACATTCACACATCATTACTTTAATCTTTCATAATGATGTGACTAATCTCTCCCTCTCTATATCTTCCTCCCCCTCTCTCTTTCTCTCTCTCTTCCTTTCTTTCCTCTCAAGGCGTTTGAATGTTCTTAATAGGTGTGCTGATTTACTAGAGGAAGTCCTATCGAAGGTAATCCCAGTGTGTGTGTATGTAAGACTGGAATACCAGTAAATTATTAAATTCCGTTACTTTAAGTGTTGATTTGATTATTTCATTTCATTTCATTCCAAAGTGTTTACAATTTATCTTGTCCTCTTACTCACTCTCCCTCTCTCTCCCTCCCTTCCTCTCTCTCTCTCTCTCTCTCTCTCTCTCTCTCTCTCTCTCTCTCTCTCTCTCTCCCTCTCTCTCTCTCTCTCTCTCCCTCTCTCTCTCCCTCTCTCTCTCTCTCCCCCTCTCTCTCTAGGATGATGATTCAGATGATGATGACACAATGAGGGCTCTTAGTGAGCAATGGCAATTTGAAAGAACTGACAAGCGTTGGTCGAGGAAAGGAAAGCACCCAAAGCGTACCTCTCCTTTAACGATTAACAACACTCACTATCCCTCTCCAGCTGCTTCAGTTGATATTATTGAGCCTCCACTGATGGTATCAGAACTTAGTACCAGCCCCACAAGAACAACTAACAGGTCGATAAAAACTTATTCTTTCTGTGGCGACAAGGAGGGTGTGTCGATTCAAATAGTACCCCTCCCTTCAGTTTCGGATGAAGACGAGACGAAACAATCTGACGCAGGGTCAGAGAAATTAGACCTGCTCAGTCCGATGAAAGAAAGAGTGAGAGACAAAGATGAAGACGACGATGAAGGAAAAATTGGAGAGTTGGGTAGGCTGGGTAGCTTTGCCTCGGGGATGCTAAGCATGTTTGACGACAGCATGAGCAAGTTAAGACGACCGACCCTCAACAGCGACCTATCTCGGTCCCTCCCGGACGTCTTCAGCTGTAGTACTCTACCAAGCAGCAACAATGAAACCACACAGACCTGCCTATCAGATTTGACAGGGAGCGTTGACTCTATACTGAATCTCGAGAAAGGAGAGGAGGAGGAGTTTGAGGACTTGTTGGAGAGTCCCGCCGTTCATTCTCGTGGCCCCAGTGAGACCTTGATGTGTAACAGCAGTGGTACCTGGGGAGGGCCATCTCCTGAAGCTTCTTACACTGAGGAAGAGGAGAATGTTTGTGTTGAGGGATCTCATAAGCGCATTGGACGACAGAGTACCTTTGATTCTAATGACTCCAGCTCTTACATGGAGCATGTTGAAGTGACTACTACTGGAACATTGACAAGGAGCTCAATAGTATCATCACCAACCCAACCGTGAGTCAGAGAGAGAGAGGGGGGGAGACAGAGAAAAGAGGAGGAATAAAATTTATGCTTGTTTAAAAAGTTTATGTATTGTCACGAAATCCTCCAAAGCTAAAAAAGTATAACTAGATGTACATGTACATGTATAAAGGCAAATAGTATCAAATACATGTGTTCTTTTGAAGTCAAAAGACAAGTGCTAGTAAATTTGTACCTCATTTGTGTCCATTGGCTATCATGATCTTTCACTAAGCATCAATTTGATCTACATGCCTCATAGTGAAACTTGACATCACCACAAATTGACCCTACATGTATTATCACTAGATAGCATATTGATAGCACATTAAACATTATGATAACTACCTCTGTATGTATGTTAGCTTTACTGGTAGTTGCTACTCCTCATTGTGTATGTCTCACTAGGGAGTGATGTCATTGTCTGTGTCAATATATTAATCATGTTAGTTTGTCTATCTGTCTGTCATGTGTCATGTCTGTCCCTATTAATCATTGCAATGATGTTATCTTTTCTCCTTGTCTTGCTTATTGTACATTACGTCACACGGCCACAGTTTGTTTCATAATACTCGATAGTACTCTGTACTACTATTGCGACTACTGTGTCCTATTTATCTATTATATTCTCTTGCTGTTATTATAATAGAAATTCTCTCTTATGTTCACACTGTTGTTTGCACCTTCACTCCACTAATATATATTCTAGTTTCTGTTTTATAACTAAGTGCATGCGTGCGTGATAGTGCACATTTCACTCATTCCTTCCTACTATTTATATAATTATATTTTCGGTAAAGCATCTCTTTTTATTGCTACGAACATTCTTTCGTAATATTTTAATTGCCTTATAGATATTGATCATTTTATAATATTGTTTTGATGACCAAATGTCCTGATTGATATCGATGCCAATCTTAGCCCGCCTGTGTGTAGTAACAATAATACATTGTATCATTTGTATGTTAATTGGACTTAAACTCTATACTCTGTGTGTGCCAGTGAATTTTGGCTATGCTGAGAGCTTGTGTATTGAGTTGAGATAAATACAGAACACTTGTGTCTATTATAGTATCGTAGTTTGATGTTTTATAAGTTTGATAGCACTTGTATTATGTATAATATTAAGTTTTTTTTTTCTTTTAGGTCTTCAGCTAAGTCAAAATGGCACAGTTTCAAGAGACAGCACAGTTTCAGGCATGCTTTTAAGCCACTAAGAACGTGAGTATTTTAAATTCTTCTCTCCTGAGTCTTCTAGTGTTCTTTATAATCTTTCTTTTATGTCCTCTCTCTCTCTCTCTCTCCCACTTTCCTTCTACTCTGTGTTATGTATCGTATTACATTTTGTGGTTACCATGGCAGTCCTATCCATCAGTCTCAACAGCTGCCATTAATCAATTACTGGTCACCTCCTTGTAGTAAAAACAATTAAACGCCTAAAATGTTTCGATACACATTTCCCATGTTTGCGATTCTGTTTTAATTATAAACAAGAAAAGGAAATTATCCAGTGCAGTTTATTGTCATATGCCATTACTTCACTACATAATGGATATACTATTATACTAGTCCAATATTAGTTCAGTATCTTATTGTTTTATTCCTTGTTAGGCTGATACCAATAGAGGAGTTATCTGTGGGTCAGATCAGTGTACTACGTAAATTATCACTTGTAAAGCTTACAGCACTTATTGAACTTCACAATGGAAAAGCCAACGTGTAAGTGTAGAGCTATTGCTCCCTATAATTATGTTTCATTCTATTCTGTACTGTAAATGTATTATTTTAATATTGTGTATTTCTTTAATTAGTTCAAGGATATTGAAGTCTAGGAGAAATAAGAATTATTCTTTAAGAGGTACTTGAATCAATTCTGAGAAATTTATAGTAAATTATTTGTTCCCTTCCACCCCCCTCTCTCTCTTCTCCTTTAGCTAATAGGATCTTTGGTTCATCATTATCCAGTAATGTGATATATTATGGACAGGCACTTCCTCCAATTATACTACAAGCAATGGAACACTTGAAAAAGACCGGTTAGTCGGCTAGTAAAACGTTGTATATTCCAGTAAATTCACTGCTAGAATAAACTTAATATTGTAGCCGTCTCGTTTTGGAAATTTTTGTAATTGAATTTGACCATTAATTTTTTGTGTTTGTTTGTTGGAATGTAATTAGTTTATATCTTTCTATAGCCATGGAAACAACAGGTATCTTTAGAAGGACGGCTGCCAAAGCAAGAGTCGAACTACTCAAAGAACTGATTGAGAATAGCCCAGGTACAGTAGGACTAAAAATACCTTGAGTACACTTTTATTATTATTACTATTATGTTTATGTTTTATTTTTAGATTTAATCGATTTTTCCGAATACACCAGCTACGAGGTAGCCGATCTCTTAAAACTCTATTTCCGTGAGCTTCCCGAATCACTGATACCAGCAAAACTATCAGAAGCATTGCTGGTGTCTTATGAATGTAAGTTCTATGCTTTATATGTAGCAAAATTATTGGAGTTTAATATCATTATATTAGTTGATAGAAATTGTATTAATTTTTGATATTTTTAATTTACTAATAGTTTACTAATAATTTACTAATAATTTACTGGTTTTTTATGGTATAGGTATCCCAAGTGCAGTGAGATTACAGGCCCAACAAGCTGTAATGTTGTTGCTGCCTGACGAGAACAGAGAAGCACTTCAATGCATGTTGAAACTGTTGGCATACACATCACAATACTCCCATACACACCAGGTGAGAGAGAGAGAGAGAGAGAGAGGGGGGGGGGCAATGTATAGTGTAGCCAAATTTTGTCAAAAATGGCTAGGAGAGAATTGTCCATTTTCATAATTTTATATGATGCATCTACATTTTCGTATGTTGTGTAGAAAGTTTGAGCTGATTCCGATCAAATTTGGATTTTTTATGAATTTTAAAAGTTGCTCCAAAGGCCATGTACTGTATTGTAGTGCTTGTCAGCTCATGAACCATGCTGTTTAGCTCACTTAGCATGCTTTGTCGGAACTCTGATTAAATGGAAGTGTCTGCTACAGTGCTACTATAGAAAGTCTCCGTTAAGAGGGACTATAATGAATTTAACCAAATCATGACATACATTTATATATTTTATTATTATTTCAGATGGATGCACAGAATCTCAGTCTCTGTCTCTCGCCCACTCTCTTCTCTCTCTCTGCCATCGCTCGCCCCTCCCCCGTCATCAGAAGAGGCTCCATGAGACGTCCCAATTCCGTTGTATCCACCACCACTCCTCAGTCCCCCAGCCCACTAGGAGGAGGCGCAAGCAAAGAGCTCAACGATCACATTGTCTCGAGTCGCTGTCTTGCCGAACTGATCCTAAATCACGAGTCTCTCTTCAAAGTGGCAGCCGACATGATGCAACTCTGCAAGTTCAGTCACTTGGAGTTTGGCGACCCCGTCCCTTTCCAAGAGCTGGGCCTTGATAAGAGTGGGGTCGGGGACTATAGATACTACATAGAGAACTGCATGAGTACTCTAGCCAAAGTGAGAATTAAGAATACATTGTGCAATTCATTAAGTAATAGAGAACGTGCAGAATAGATTGAGGCACATGTAATGAGGAAATTTTATGTTTAAATTTTTTTTTAATAGAGGCCTTAATGATGATAATATGATAATAATAATATTAATGGTCTGTTTACTGTTTAATCTGATTTGGCATTAGTTATTTTAATAATAATAATAATAATAGTATTTAATAATAATAATAATAATAATAATAATAATAATAATAATAATAATAATAATAATAGTGCCTGTCTCATAATTGTATAGTCTACTCTAATATACAAGAAAGGATGAGATTGAATCTTTGAAAAATAATGCAATATCTATATATTAACTATTATGTTCATTTTTAATGTGTAGGAGCAGAGAAGGCGATACAGGGGATGGGTCCACTGTGACCTCATGAAAGGAGTCTCACTCGCTTACTGTAAGATCGAGGATGGAGTCCCTTTGCGTCTGTGGAGAGGAACTGTTGAAGTTCCAGCATCCTCCGAAATGGTGCTAAGAAAACTCTGGGAGGAAAGGTAAAGCTAGAAATATGACAGAGGATTGAAGAGAGAAAAGGATGTACATGTACAATAATGTTATATAAAGAAGGGCCTACATGTGTATATTGATATAGTGGAAATAAGACAGTTCATATGGAGCATGTATACATTCATAGTACACTCTTTTTAACTGTGGTTTTACATGTGGTTTTATCTTTTGTAAAGGTTTCTGTGGGATGGTTCGGTCCTCAAAGGTCGTAGAGTCTCAAAACTTGACGAGAATACCGAAATATTTCAATACGTGACGTCATCAATGGCACCACTCAGTGACAGAGATCACTGCATCATGAGGTATGCAGAATCATAGCTCAAAAAATCGTATTTGATGAATTTTATTTTTAAGGTCGTGGCGATTTGATCCATCGAATGATTCATATGTTGTCATAAGCACATCAGTGTCTCATCCTAGTGCTACTCTTCTCTCTGGGGTGAGGTGTACTGAGCTGGCTATGAGGTACATTATAGAACCAGCTGGCAATAAGAACTCGATATTAACACTCTTTTGTAGAGTTGATATGAGGTAAGCACTGAATCAGCATAACTTGGCTTTTTAAGAATAAATAATTATTATGACAATTTTGAAATAAAGTGTAGCATCATGTTGTCCTTTTTTCTTTGCTCTGAAAAGATCCATAACTTTTAATGGACAAATAAAATTTTATTATTTTTTTTCGAAGGACTATAGACTATTATAATCTACATATCATGCATGTATAATGTACATGTATAAATACAATAGAAAATATTTGTAAGTTTAAATGCCTCCTCTCTCACTCATAGGGGAAGATCTGCTGATTACTATAACCATTTTTACGGCCGCTACTTGGCGTCAAGCATATACAAATTACGAGATTCTTTTAGAAGATCGCTTGAAACTGATTACATAGAGACACCTGTATAATCCTATATCCCAACTCTCTCACTCTCTCTTCTCTTCTCTCTTTCTTGTCATATAATAATCTCCTGTATATCAAAGCTCATTTTTGACACTAAAATATTATATACATATATATTATATTTCATTATTATTACTATTATCCTAACTGTGAAATATATTTCCTTTTTGCCATCTTTAGTTGGGGCCAACTAGTCTCGCTAGCCAAACCATTTGCCCACAAGTAACTGTAGGCTGGGGAATGGTCTGGCTAACGAGATTAGTGGCCAACTTTGTGATGTATTGAGCAATATGTTCCGAGATCATACAGCATAATTCAATGTAGCAGATGCGATTGACAAGCTTCTTTTGTACTTGTAAAATGTAATAACTTTCAGTGCTGATGTAAACCACTGTAATGAATAATGATAATATTTAGTATGAATGCGATTATAAAATCCAATCATAAATACATTAATGAGTAATTAAAAGCATGAATGACGATGGCTTCAGCTTAGTGTAATACATGTCAGCATAGCCACTTTATTACAGCAACAGCTTGAAAGCCTTGAATAGCCGCAGCCTTTTCTATTCTTAAACTTGAAGGATAATGTCCCTAGAAGAAGAATCTCCCGAGGTACCTGGAGCTGAAGTCAAGCCTCCACAGGCTAACACTAGTGATACTGATGGGGCGACAGGAACACCAGTGGTGATCGTGAAGAGCAAGAAGAAAGGAAAGAAAAGGTAAGCTGAAAATAGCTACAATAGGTGTAAACACAAGTCCCTTTTTAGTGATGGTGGAACTCGTTCAAAGCGTGTTGTTCCAATTTGGTACTTGGTAAGGGCGAGAAAGAGGATATAGAGATATTAAAAATTGTGTTGTAGTTGCTTTAGATCATGTTAGAATAATCTCCTTCTTCCCCCTCTCATAGTTTCGATTTTCAAGATGGCCTGATATACTCATGATAATCATTGGTACCATAATGGCGATAGCAGCTGGTTGTGCATTACCGGCTCACATGCTCATGTTCGGAGATGTCATAGACCTCTTCATCTCTTACGACCTCAGTCAAGACCTCATTAATAATTTTGGTGTCTCAGTCCCTGGAGGAAGCAACGACTCCCTAGGAACCGGAGGAACTTCAGTCATTGCTGGAGGAAACTCATCTTATTTTTGTGATTTTTCGCAAGACGACTCTACATCTAATATACTTCGGTTCCTTCGATCCGATGATCGGGATGGACTCCTACGAGGCGATGTTGCCTATTATTCTTATTACTATGTTGCTCTAGCAACCGGTATGGTGATTGCATCTTTCTTTTCAACGCTCTTTTGGAACCTCAGTGCATATCGGCAGACGAGAAAAATGAGACTGGCTTTCTTTCGTTCGATAATGAGACAATCTATTGGTTGGTTCGACGTCAATCCATCAGGAGAACTAACTACCCGCTTGTCAGAGTAAGTCAGTCAGCTTGACCTCTTAAGTTAACTGTAGTTTTGAGTGACCTCCCTATAGTATCTGTTTACCAGCTGGGCTCATTTTGATTGCTATCGTAGTAGAGAATACTTTAAATTGATTAGATATACTTTGCCATAACCACAAAACCAAATCACACCACATTATGATGGCTTGGCCGATTATGCTTTCATAAGTACTGCTTAAAATCCCGCCCTATTATGCTTTGAAAGGAATCCATTATTTTACTCATGCTTTAAACTTGACTCTAGTATCAACTAGCTATCAAGCTACATGTGCATGCATCTGTTATAATTATAATAAAAATAAATTGTAATAATAATACCAGAATCTGAAAATGTTTCCAGTGACTGAGTCACTGGGAAATTCACTTGTATGGGTGGGCACTAAACAGTTGGGCTGTTGTACTAGTACTTGTACTACTGAATTAAAATTGTATCGTCAGTGGTAAAAGGCCAGAAATTCTTGACCATTATGCTCCAATTATTATATACTTGTATTTGTCATATTTTGCTCCAATTATGTTGGCATAATTTGCCTAACCCTAATTTTACTCTCTCTCTCTCTCTCTCTTTCATCTTTCAGTGATATAGAAAGGATTCAAGCAGGCATAGGCGATAAAGCTGCCATATTCATACAGTACTTCACAACGTTCATTGCTGGGTTCTTCATCGCTTTCTTTCGTAACTGGAAACTCACTCTCGTGGTGGGAACCATGTTACCAGTCCTGTCCTTCCTCACCGGATGCGTAGCTACTGTGAGACATTATCACTTAATTTTGTATTATTTTTAATTTTTATTAGATCGTTGCAAAGTTTACAGTAAGAGAACAGAATGCTTATGCTTCAGCAGGATCTGTAGCTGAAGAAGTACTTTCTTCAATAAGAACAGTGCTTGCTTTTGGTGGAGAAGAGAAGGAGATTGAAAGGTAGATATATATATATATATATATATATATATATATATATATATATATATATATATTTAGGTGTAAATTATTTAGATTTAATTATTTTAGATGTTATTATTTAGAAAATATTAATGTAATATATATAGAAGGGAAAGGAGCCAAAAAGACAGTGGGAGAAGGAATTGGTGTTTTATTTGTCATTAAAAATTGTTGTTTTATTTGTTTTTAGATATCAGGGTACGTTGGGTAGAGCTAAGAGTGAAGGATTTAAGAAATCATTTGCAACCTCGGCCGTGACTGGTATACTGTTCTTTGTCAATTTCTCAACATTTGCATTGGGATTTTGGTAATCATTTAAATTTTTGATATTTTCTGGTACATATTGATGTTCTTGTCAATGTGCTATGTAGAAAGCTTGAGTCATTTCTGTTTTAATTTTTTGAGTTACGGCTGTTTTTAAAAAATGCCAAAATTCTGAAAAATACCCAAGGCTATAGCTCAGGGTTTTTTCCAAAAAATGGCTCCAAAATCACTCCAAATTTTTATTAGATTTTCTGATACATATTGATGTCCTTATGCTGTGTAGCAAGTTTGGGCTAATTCCGACTCCAATTTTTTAAGTTACGGCCATTTTAAGAAAATGCCAAAATTCTGAAAAATACCTAAGGCTATAGCCCATGGTTTTTTACAAAAAATGGCTCCAAAACCACCCCCAATTTTTATTACATTTTCTGATACATATTGATGTCCTTATGCTATGTAGCAAGTTTGAGCCAATTCCGACTTCAATTTTTCAAGTTACGGCCATTTTAAGAAAACACCAAAATTCTGAAAAATACCCAAGGCTATAGCCCATGGTTTTTTCCAAAAAATGGCTCCAAAATCACCCCAAATTTTTATTAGATTTTCTGATGCATATTGATGTCCTTATGCTATGTAGCAAGTTTGAGCTGATTCTGAGTTCAATTTTTCAAGTTACGGCCATTTTAAGAAAATGCCAAAATTCTGAAAAGTACCCAAGGCTATAGCCCATGGTTTTTTCCAAAAAATGGCTCCAAAATCACCCCAAATTTTTATTAGATTTTCTGATTCATATTGATTTTCTTATGCTATGTAGCAAGTTTGAGCCAATTCCGACTTCAATTTTTCAAGTTCTTGTTATTTCAGTTTTATATGCTATTATAGCTTATTATTATTATTACAATTGTTTTCAGGTATGGAGCTGTCCTTATATCAAACTGTGAGCTAAGAGCTGGCCAAGTTGTCACTGTAAGCATAAGAAAATAATACAATAAATAATTGAAAAATATTATTCTATTTTAGGTATTTTTTGGTGTCGTCATTGGCAGTTTTTCTCTCGGTAACGCACTCCCTGAACTGCAGACTTTTGCTACTGCAATGGGATCAGCTACTGGAGTATTCTCCGTCATTGACCATGTGAGGGGGTGGTGCAATGGGTGGGGCTTAGAGCACGAGAGAAGAAAAAAACAAAAAATTATTTATAAAATTTTTGTATTTTTTGTTTAGGAATCTGAGATCGATGTTACCCAGTCAACTGGTGATACTATAGAGTCTCTTAAGGGAAATATCGAACTAAAAGACGTCATTTTCAAATACCCAGCTCGTCCCAACGTGCCAGTATTGAATGGGCTGGACCTTAAGATAAAATGTGGTCAAACTGTTGCACTTGTTGGGGCCAGTGGGTGTGGCAAAAGCACTGTGATACAGTTACTGCAGAGATTCTATAATCCTATTGCTGGTCAGGTAATTAGAACAAGCTTACTGAATAATTTTACCGTCAATTTTGTTGGTTCAAAATTCAATCAATTTTGCCCATAGCATTTTGTTAGACAAAATTAGCAAAATTTTACTAACAAAAAATGAATAAATTTTTGCTGATTTTTATGTAGCTTTATGTATATCTTAAATAATAATTTATTTTAGATCACAATTGACGAAAAACCCATTGAGTCTTTAAACCTGAGATGGTTGAGGAGCAACATAGGCGTCGTCTCACAAGAGCCTGTCCTCTTTGACTGCAGTATTGCCAAGAACATAGAATATGGAAAAGTTGGAGCATCCGAAGAAGAGATAGAGGCAGCAGCTCATGCAGCAAATGCTCACAACTTTATATCAGAGCTACCTGACGGGTATGATACTCTTGTTGGCGAGAAAGGAGCTCAGTTGAGTGGTGGACAGAAGCAACGTATTGCTATAGCAAGAGCTCTAGTGAGGGACCCAAAGATACTCCTACTGGATGAAGCTACCTCAGCTCTTGACACAGAGAGTGAGAAGATTGTACAAGAGGCACTGGATAAAGCAAGGGAAGGACGTACAACTATCATAATAGCTCATCGCCTGTCAACAATACAGCAAGTTGATCTAATTGCTGGCATTGAAGAAGGTAGAGTAGTAGAGATGGGCACTCATAAAGAACTACTGGAAAAGAAAGGACTTTATTATGAACTGGTCCAAGCACAGACTATTGATGAACAAGATGAGAAGAGCAACAGTGAGTTTATATGATTATAATAAAAAAGAATAATTATTGTATAGCTTGAAAATTTTGTCAAGAAATAATTAATTTTATTACAATTTGCAAGTGTATTGAAAATGTAAACTTTTTAAAATTTACAAATTCTTACACAATAATAATTTAATACTCTGTTGAATTTTGATGCTGTATAAGTACGGTTTTAAAAATTTTATAAACCTTCTTATTATTTTTATTACTTTCTCTCTCATACAGCTTCCCTATCTGGTTTCAGGGCTGCTGTCCGTCGCTCCACAAGTCACCAGTCATTCAAGAGACAGCGAAGCACTCACAGCACAAGCTCTGACGACTGGAAAGGACCTCCTTCATTGGAGCGTCAGACCTCAAATCAATCCGATGTATTCACTGTCATTAGTGATCACTTATCACGGATTAGCATTGAGGATATACCAGTAGTAGCTCATCCATCTCCTCTACCGTATAGAAGAAATAACAAGGACGCTAATGAAGATAGAAATAAAGTAATATCATACACTATTGTTATTATTATTATTATTATTATTATGTACATTTATGTTTAATCTGGTGCTATGAAAATTATATTTGTATTTATGCATGTACATCTAATTGTTAATATTTGTTTCTCTTTTTCTCTCTCTTTCACAACGTAGGATAGCCCCAGTAAGAAAGTAATGATCGTGAAACCTTCAAAGAATACGGATAAGTCAGTTCATTTTAATGTGAATGAGGACGAGGAACAGCTCCAGTTGAAAAAAGATAAGAGAAGATCGAGTTCACTTGACTCGAAAGACACGGAAAAATTAGACAAAGTTCCTTTAAAAGAATTACTGAAACTTAACATTCCGGATTGGTACCTAGTTATACCAGGTTGGTGGTAGCCTTGATTAATCGAATAATTAGCATTAATTTTTTTATTATGTGTACATGTACATGTAGGTGTTATATTTTCTGCTATTCAAGGGGCAATGTTTCCTCTAATTGCCATCATATTCAGTAACATACTAGAAGTAAATTTTTTTTAATATTATATATATTTTTAAAGTTGATTTTTATCCATTATTTTAGATATACAGTAATCCTGATAGGGAAGAGCTCCTAAGAGGTGCTTCGGAATATTCAACCTATTTCGTTGCTCTTGCAGTTGGAGCTGGATTGGTCCAGTTTTTTGCTGTAAGAGAAAAAGAGAGAGAGAGGGAGAAGAGAAAAAGGATTCTATTTGCTGATTTTTTCTTGCATAGAGTATAGATACACCAACTACGAGACACCTAAAATTTTTTAATTAAAAAAATTATTAAAATTGAAGGCAGTGCCCCATAATACCGCCCCTTCTTATGATAGCAGAACAAACTCTATTTTTGATTTTTTCTTCTCTTTTTCAGACCTCTACATTGAGTGTAGCTGGCGAAAGGCTAACAGCAAGACTCCGTGTGAAGACATTTAAGGCAATGTTGAGACAAGAGGTTGGCTGGTTTGATAGAAGAGAGAATGCAACTGGGTCCCTCACACAAAGATTAGCTATTGATGCTTCCGAAGTCAAAGGAGTAAGTGACTAAAATAAAAATAAAAATTATAAATGATATTTGAGTGATAGTACAAAAGTATTTTAGTCATGAATAAGAAGAAATAATTTTGTTTTTTTTAACTATTCTTAATTTAAATAGCATTCCATATTTTTATATGATCTATAGTATACACACTTGTAGGTGACTGGAATTCGATTTGGTATTCTTCTCCAGTTGATATTTGGTTTCATAACTGCACTAGTAATAGCCTTCACTGCTGCCTGGCTCCTAGCCATTGTCCTCTTCATTGCTTTCCCATTCCTTGCTGTTGTTGGCTCGCTACAGATTCGACTAGCAAAAGGAAGATCAGTTAGAAATAAAGAATTGCTCTCCGAAGCTGGTCAGACTTCGACTGAAGCAATCGATAATGTGAGAACCGTAGTCTCGCTCGGAGCTGAGGAGAGATTTGTTGGAAAATATGATAAACTTCTTGAAGAACCTTTTAAGTATAGAGGAGTTGAATGGCAATGCTGATTTTTTTAAAATTTACTCTCTGTTTTTCTTCCTTGTTCTCTCTCTCTCTCTCTCTCTCTCTCTCTCTCTCTCTCTCTCTCTCTCTCTCTCTCTCTCTCTCTCTCTCTCTCTCTCTCTCTCTCTCTCTTTCTCCTAGAGCCAATATAAGACAGGTATTGATTCAAGCAGTCATATTTGGTGTGGCCCAAGGGACTATATTCTATATGTATGCTGCAGGGTTTAGCTTAGGAGCTGTACTGGTAGTTTCTGATCCTTCAAAACCCTATCATGCAACATATGACGAGCTCTTTAGGTATAAAGAGAGAGAGAGAGAGGGAAGGAGAGGGAGAGAGGAGAGAGAGAGAATGAAATGCAACCTATTTAATAAAAAATAGCTTTTTATCATCACTATATAATTTAATTTTGCATTATTGGTTCTATTATCTTTATTTTAGGGTATTTTCAGCTGTTGTCTTCACAGCACTTACTATGGGGCGTGCCTCATCCTTTGCTCCTGACGCTCAAAAAGCTCAACTGTCTGCCGCCCGTATATTCAATCTAGCCAACAGGGAACCAGAGATTGATAATTATGACACTGATGGAGAAAAACTAGTAAAAAATAGTAGTAGTAGAATTTTATATAAAGAACTTTGTTCTCCCTTTTACTTTTTAGGCTACTACTACTGGACATATTGAAGTGAAGAATGTTTATTTCAGGTATCCAGCGCGTCCAAATGTGCCAGTACTTCAAGGTCTGTCAGTCTCTGTAGAACCAGGCCAGACTCTTGCACTTGTGGGTCCCAGTGGGTGTGGTAAGAGCACAATTGTGTCTCTGATTGAGAGGTTCTATAATCCGCTTGGTGGAAGCTTGAAACTGGAGGAGCAGGATATTCGGGATTTGAATATTCGGTGGTTGCGTAATCAGATTGGTATAGTATCACAAGAGCCAGTATTGTTTGATAAATCAATTGCTGATAATATACGCTATGGAGCTAACTTTAGAGAAGTGACTGATGAAGAGGTCATTGAAGCTGCTACAGCTGCTAACATACACAACTTCATACAAACACTGCCTCAGGTAAATATGATTATTTTGTTTCGAATGTCTTTGATCTTTTTCAGGGTTATGCAACCAATGTTGGGTCTAAGGGCACTCAATTGAGTGGTGGACAGAAACAACGTATTGCTATAGCAAGAGCTCTAGTGAGAGACCCAAAGATACTCCTACTGGATGAAGCTACCTCAGCTCTTGACACAGAGAGTGAGAAGATTGTACAAGAGGCACTGGATAAAGCAAGGGAAGGACGCACGTGTATAGTAATAGCTCATCGCCTGTCAACAATATACAATTCAGAGAAGATTGCTGTAATTCATAATGGACAGGTTATAGAGTTGGGGACTCATGCTGACCTAATGGAGCAGGAAGGAGCTTACTACCTCTTGAATACAGTCCAGAAGAAAGAAGAAGAGGAAGAAGTAGCTGAACTATGAAATTTTTATGTATGCAACAGTGTGTATAGACTTTAATTTGCATAATTTGTTATTAGTGCTGTTTAGTGACGGGAATTATAATGTATGGAGAGTGATCTGAGGAGGTAGAAGTTGCTGAAGCTAAAAAAGAATATATAATAAAAATAGCTGGGATTTATTTTCAATAAGTACTTATAGTACATACTGTACCTATAGTATAGTACATTGAGGCTTCCTTTTAAGCTAACTCTCACAGTTCATTTAATGATTGTATTTCCTTAAAGTAACGGTCGATAGCGTCACGGGTCGATTGCGCAATTGCAGCATAGATTATAGCAAAATCGAAGATAATTACGATTTTGACAGTGCTATGCAATGTCTGGCTCTGGACTGTCTTCTTCATGGTCTTTACTCGCAGAATCAAGTGAGCTTTGTAAAGTAGCCATAGAATATCAGTTGAAAACTATTTACTCTTGAACTTGAGTTTTAACTGAGTGATATTGAAGAGTTAGATATACCTAGATCTAAAATAATAAATCTAGATTTAATAATAATTTTATTACATGATGAACAGAAGTAGCAATAGGAAGAATAGCTAAATCCCATGTATGATTACACCAGCCCCTACATCTAGATTTAAGGAAAATGAATGAATGTTTTGTCCCTCTTATGATAGCACAACATTTTCAGATCTAAGTTCTGAATTATTTCTTATAATTTTAACTCTAAAAGACCTTTTGGTTTTCCTCTTGATTAAGTTTTTTACTATTTAGCAAGTTGTGTCCTCATAACAGGGATAAAACATTCATTCATTTTGGGCAAGAGTAATGGAGTCTGTCATTGGCGATTATATATATCTTCATATAAATTTATTTGAGCTTTCACCAACCTTAAAATTAATCATGACATGTGATTTCTTGATTGATATTAAAGGCGGATTTACAATATTACAATGGGCTTGATGTTACGTTGACACTGAAATAGGATTTGGTTCTACGCAGATTTCACTTGCATTCAAACAGTGCGTATTGCGTGGGGATCACATGCTCCTAATAAACCATGCACTATATTTAGCTATATTGTCACACTCTGATATTTAATTTATTCCCCAATATTACCCATGTATCTAAGGCCTGGTTTCCATATAGCCATACAACAGCCTTACAACACTGTTGCGACAATCGTAGAGATAGAAATCAGGTCTATTTATGGTATGCTAACCACAAAATCCATACAACAACCACAACTATAATTATGATATTTTATTTGGGAAAGGATTACACCCTTAATAATATAGATATGATATGCTGTTATTTTTAGCTCCAGAAAATATCATGTCTACTGAAATTGAAAAGCTAAAGAAAGGTATAATAAAAAGTATATCAATTCATAATATAAGTGTTGTGCATTAGTAAATTCTGATTTAAAAGAAGAGCTTGATATAACAAAGGAGAAAGAAACAGCAATGATTCAAGAAATGAGTGAACTAAAGAAAAAGCTAAAAGTTAAACAAGAAAGATTTACAAGTTAGCATTGTGCATAAAATTTATGCACTGGCATTATTTTTAGAGTTTCAAATATTCCTTTTCATTCTCGCTGCCATCGTGAGTATGTATTTTTTGACTACTAAAGAACAGAGAAATTTTATTGGTAATTTGATTATCATACCTGTATGGTAGATTAATGCAATTATTTAATAGCTCCTTTACCTGGTGCTGAAGTAATCATGTCTACTGATATCATCATACATGGTGGTCAGTCAAAAAATTTTAATTTAACAGAGTATGGTCTCATAGTTAAATGTCCTCCTGATGCTCTTCCTACCAGTTTATATGCCAAAATTAATATACGGTTAAGTTTATCAGGCCCCTACGTTTATCCTAATTCAGAAAAATGGAGATCTGCTACTCCTGTTTACTGGATATCCAGTAGTAAAGATCTTCTTAATCCAATACAGTTAGGAATACGGCATTATGTTAGAGGAACAGCAAATTCAAGTGTAATTAAAGTTTTTACAGCTGATGATAGCCCCAAGAACCACTCATATATATTTAAAGAAATTTATAATTTCACTGTTGATGAATCTTATGTTTTCATTTCAATAAGTCACTTCAGTGGTTATGAAGTCAGTACTTCAGAAAAACCTTTTTTTTCTGGAGCATTGTTTAAGGAAGAGTTTCCTACTGAAGAATACCAGTGGAACTACAATTTCATTGTGTTTTGTTCTACTTTTTCTTCAGTGATCAAAAGCGTATGTTACAATTGGTAGTCATCATGTTAATTCATTTAAATACAGAAATTAGAATTTGCAACAAACTCAAGTTGGTCCGTAATAATATCATCTACTACAGTAATTTTTGAAAAAAACAGCTCATCAATAGAGCTTGATCTTTCAAAAAATAATCGAACTCAGAATTGGGATATTGAGGCAAGGTTTACTCCACTAATTGTAAGCAATAGATTGACTTTCAAATGTTTTATGTATGATGTATTTATAGTATCATAAGAAGTATCTAAATAAGTGTGATGACATTCAATTCAATATGCAATTTAGCCTACATTGGAAGAAAAATGACACAGCATCAGAAATCAGAAGCATATCCCTCCCTCTGAAGGGTGTAACTAATCCCAAATCAATCACAATTCCACTACCAGAAAGTAAATTAAGCTGTAATTAATTCAAGTGGAGTTATTTTTTACAGTTAAAGAACCAAGCTTTCTGGAGAAGTATGAAGTGATCATTTTATTATTATGGATAATAATTGTGGCATTAATCATGCTTGTCATAACAAGAAATTGTCCTAATCGGACTGCAGAAGCAATAGGTAAAATGACAATATTTTTTCATAAATTTGCTCCATAAGGCACAGACAAAATTTTGTCTTACGTGTAATATACAGTCGGAGCAGATTATTATTATTATTATAAGTAATCATGATAATTGTGTAATTATTTAGATATATTAATGAAGGTGTTAAAAGTTCTGTTGATTCCACTTCTAAGTATTTTTCTATGTAAGCTTTTCCCACTTTTAAGTGGTAAGTGATTAGAATATTAATAATAATAATAATCTATAAATATTAATATAGATCTAAAAAAAAATGGAATTATGGACGTGGATCAATAAAATTATAAACTAGTCCTTGCGTACGTAAAGCTAGCAAGGCCAATAATGTTTAATTGGATGAAATCCTAACTTGTGAAGTAGTTGTTGTGTTTGTTTGTTTGTATATGCATGAGGGGCAAAGCCCCTTCATGTTTTACATTTTTAATGATAAAATAGTAAATATTAGTGATATTTTACACTGAACCAGCCTGCATAACTTCATGCTGTTTGTATACCAAAACCAGATTAACAAAATAGTAAGGTTTTGTCTCTACTGCTGCACACTCCGTATAAGACGAAAAAGTTTTGATTATAATTATTACAATTTTTTGATGATCATAGACAGTCTGGCATTTTTGAAAATCTTTAACTGTTAATTCTAATGAGAAATTTTTTTAGTTACTAAATAAAATCTCTATTAAAATACATATCAATTCTCTTATAGTTATTCTGTTAGATGCATTGAATTTGTAGAATCAAAAATTATATACATTAATGGAAAGTGAAGGATTTTAGCTAATAACTAAACTACTTAGGGCTCTCACTGTACTTTTTAATATACATTTAATTTGTTGCTAGTGATCTATTTTTTTCCAAAAATTGGCTCTAAAATCACCCAAATTTTTATCATATTTTCCAGTACATATTGATCTCTTTATGCTATGTAACAATTTTAAACTGATTCCAATTTGAAAGTTTTGAGCTATGACAGTATCACTACTTTAAAATTTTTTAATAAATTTGTACCTCGTGCTTTTTTCCAAAAATTGGCTCTGAATCACCCCCAAAATTTATTTGATTTTTTGATGCACATTATATTTATTCTTATGCTATGTAGAAAGTTTGAGTTGATTCCAACTGAAATTTAGTTATGGTCATTTTAAGCAAATTTTTGAGAGAAAGCACGAGGCCTTTGTTTTGCATTAAAAAGTAGACATGTATGCATGTACTTGAGTGTACTATTTTTTTAAATGAATAAATAATAGCGTAGCTAATTGTAAGAAAATTAGTAAGTGATAATGAATAAAGAGGTGGTCATATGTGGTTATCTATTTTAAATTTAAGATACGAAAGGGAAAGAGTGAGTTTGAGAGAGGAGGGTAAATGGTTCCATCGGTTGATTGCAGAGGGATAAAATGAATTTTGGTAGGTTGAAGTATTACAAGTGATTGGAGATTGAATGATCACTTCATTATAATGAAGTATGCTAAAATGCAGGACGTTATTAAGTGATGTTATAATCACTATGTTATGTATATATTGTGATTTAAAGGGTAAAGGGTATAACCCTATCCATTAACATCCTTAATCGCTTCCACCACACACGTACATATTCCAAGAAAATCAGAAATGCTATTTGTGTTGGTGTCTGTGTTTGTCATGAAGTCATCAATTTCTACCAAGTCTAGTAAACACATATTGGGGGTTGTGATTGGCAAGTCATAAATGTTCACATTATAGTTTTTATCATGTATCTATAAGTTTTGGCAATTTTAACATTTTGAAATTTAACAATTTGCAATTTCTAAATTTCAAATGCATGCGTAATGTTAAAGGGTAGCAATTGGCAAGTCATAAATGTTCACATTATATATCTAGTTTTTATCATCTATTGGCAATTTCTAAATTTCAAATGGACTCATAATATTATAGGTTTTTCAATAATTCTGTACAAAGTCTGTTTAGTGGTAATCCAACGACATTGTAATAGTCTCCAGTGATAGATTTGACTAGTGTCCCTCCTAAATCCTGGATCCCATACCTGCAGTATGGAAGTATGGAGTTATGGAAATGAACATAAATGTGAATAACAGGGACAAAATGAGAAGAGAAAGAGAGAGAGGCTAGGAAGCAAAATAGAAAAATAAAATAATAAAAAATATTAATAAGTTTAGTAAAGGATACGCTCCTGCTTTGTCCCTAAAATAATTAAAATAATTATTAAAATAATTTTAAAGTACTTACAAAGGTTCGTTAGACTCCACGTAAGACTCAATTATTTCATCTGAGAGATCAGAAAACTCAATATGTGTGGTCTCGTGACATTTTACCTCGCGAAGGGTCTGATCATCATTTTGAAAAATGAGCACAAGACCCGTAACGACAGTGTGAGCAGCACCTTGCAAGCTATAAAAAAATTTAAAATATTTATTTAAGTTGGCAGCAAACAGGCTAGCACATAAATTTATATTGGCATTAAAAATATTCAAAAAATGATATACTAGTTATCATAAGTCACTTGACGAGAAATTGGAAAGGATATGCAAGAGTAACTGGAATCGAATAAGGAAGTACATAATTCATATGGTAGTGGAGTATCAGTAAACAAACAAATTGTAATGAATTATGTGTATGAGTAAAGGGGTCTAGGTCAACCAGGGACAGATTAGACTGGAGTCTCGATTGATCACTCAACTTTTCAAAGAATCAGCAATTGCTATGGGCCACTGGAAGTGGACCTCTTTGCGACAAGACTAACCAAGCAATGGTGAGCATCAAGATATTTGTAATTGATGCTATATTTATTGAATCAGTTGCAACCACATACGTGTGCATTGAGGAGGAGGAGGAGGAGGAGGGGGGGAGAGACTATAGAAAGAGTGTGCTGAGTTGTGATAACAAACAGGAACAGACAATTCCTTGTGTACACAATTCAGTTAGTGTATGCCTCCTCCTCTTTCAAAAACACTCAAACATAGTAAGACCAGCTGCTTTTGATGACAATACTAAATTATACAATTAAAACCTCATCCCCCTCTTATAGTTTGACTAGAATCCCCCTCACTCTCTTTAATAACATACTTTCTGAGCATCTCTCTTGCCTTCTCTTGTGTTTTAGGTTTCTCATAAATAATACCATCCCTCACCTACTGACAAAGTGGCATATGCACATACATAGAGAATTTTTTTAAAATTTAGTCTCTTACGACAATTGTATCAGCTCCTATGACTACACGCCAAACAATCTCACTATCCTAAAATATAGAAATACATTAAGTAGAGAGGTTATCTACATCTATAGACATATTGCATGAAAGCAAAAGAGAGATTATAATTATAATCAAGAAGAGTTTGGAATTACTTTTATTCTCTTTGCAACCTCCCATGCTTTTCCCTTGGCATTTTCAACTGCATACAAGTATGGTTCGGGGAATTGGGACTTGTCTAATGTCTCTTCAAACTTTGACGGGACCACTTCAAAGGGAAAGTTCTAAAGTACAACAAATGAAGATGTTTCTGTGTTACAATTGTGTTAATCGATTGCTGCTGATTGCATTACTGGTAATTATGTAACCGCAAAAAGAGAGAAAAATAAAATATGGGATTAATAAATGCTTGAGTCAATCTAGTAATAATAATAATTATTATTTCTAATAATTTCAATTAGGGTTTGTTTTCAAATTCAATTATGCGTTTAATTTTTAAGCTTACGATGTGCTGTAGTATTTCACGGCGTCTTGGAGATTCACTGGCAAGTATTACCTTTCGACCACCCAGTCTTCTTACTATTGGGCCAAGCATTACAACTAACAAAAGAGAGAGAGAGAGAGAGAGAAAAGAAAGAGGAGGAGGAGAGAGAGAGAGAGAGATCAGAGATGATGGAGGAAAGAGGGATGGTATTACGCCCACGCAGAGTAAGTGGCCTAATAATAATTATTAAAAGAATAAATGAGCGATTGAGCGACCATTTACAAGTTACATTGCTCAAAGAGAAGTCTCATCTATACAACAATGTCTTCTACTCCTTCATTCGAGAGGGGCCGGTTCTACAGCAGCTACTCCCGCGGTAGTACAGGCGAGTATCAGCCTCGTCCCCCCAGTGCCGAAGGGAGGGCGGCCGGCAAGACGTTTCAAGCGGCCCAATTCCAAGGATCAAGACATGGCTCTTTGGTCGTGTCACCGAACAAGAACAGCCTACACAAGATAACTAAAATGTTCAGGAGCAAAGAAGGGAAAGGAGGGACCAGCAAAGGCCCTGGTGGAGATAAACTTCGCGTTCCTTCTGAAGCCGAGGCAGGTCTGAACGGTGATGGCTCTGGGTTTGTTGGAGGTGCGAGAAGTCCCGAAGGCTCACCCAACGCCTTTAGAAGGATAAGGTCGTATTCTGTTGGTAGTAGGACAGCTCTGAAAGTTAGGAGAGGCAAGGATAGAGAGGAACAATTCTTCATGTGGAAACCAGTTAAGGTGTGGGCATGTGATCATTTGGTTTGTTTGTGAACAACAAGTGTTTGCCTAAATGTGATCCTTATCTTATAGCTATCTTCCCTTTTTTGTCAGTTTCTGTTTGAACATGACTTTTGGTTTTCCCTAACATGACTTGGTTATTCTTAATCCCTGCCTTACATGTCTACATTGTACATATATGTATTATTTATCTCTGTTTCTTTCTCTTAGAGAAAGAGATGTGAATGGGAAAGCATGTCAGGTAGACAGTTAACCATTAAGGATACTCACATCTCAGAACTTGGTAAAGCAGAATTGGAGGCACTCCAACAAATTGCCATCGCTCGTCTTCAAGAAATCGACATCTCAGTGTCTAAAAGTATGTCATTAACACCATAATTATACATACACGTATTGGTTGACATATTATATGTCCTCTTTCACAAAGTAAACAAACTTCCACTTAACTACTTGGTAATCTTATTGTTCCTTTGGATCTATTATTATACGGACATGATATACTAAACTTTGTTCCTTTGTAATTGTTATTTTTGCCTCCTCCTCCTCTCTCTCCTCTGTCATAATCTGTTACTTTTAAAATTGACGATTACTCTTATGATAGGCTCTATTAGATCGGGAAAGTTAAAAGTTGTCAAAAGAAAAGCATCTAATGAAAGAATTGGTATGTAATATACACCTCTTGTACTCTTAATTTCATTTGACGACCCCAATTACTGGTACTCACTCACTCTCTCTCTCTCTCTCTCTCTCACTCTCTCTCTCTCTCTAGCTGTCTTTGGCCAGCCCCTAACTGCAGTCTTAGATCAAGACAAATCTCGTACACTTACCTCTCCTGTCCATGCTACACCTCCAGCAGAAGCAAGCTTTACGTCCCCTCCATCTTCCTCATCCGTAATCCCAAGCAATACTAACAACAACACACAACACTATCATCCAGTGAGTCAACTGTTTGAATAACTGTCAAGTACATTAGTACAGGGTGTGGGCTGGTTTGAGATTTGAGGATTAAGTGTGTTTTGGTGTCTTGATAACTGTTTTGGGGGTCAATGTAAGCTAGCAGCTGTATCTTGTTTGCTTGTTTAGTTTTTCTGTATTTGTGACAGCTGTACCACTATATCCAAAATGGCTTTGCTCATGTTTTAGAGCAGTTTTATTCAAATAAGATTTTACTTTCTTCATTTCTGTCTTGTGTAGGCTGCACTGTTTTTCAGCTTAGTCTATTATTATGTCTTTAAAATGATTATTTTTTGTGGTCTATTGATCATTCCACCTGTTTATAATACATTATCATTGTCCTCCTATCACCTGAAAGTGGATTTTATTATCATTTTGTTATAATTGTTATGACTTCGTGACCTTCTCACTCTCTCTCTTCCCTATCACACACCTCATAAAGATGTCCTAAACATGTAACTCAATACGTAATACATCTTACAGCCTACCCTCCCCCTCTCTCTATTTCTCTTTGGTGATTGCCTGATTGGTATGTGTGTATGTAATCAAGATCTTTAGTACAATGTGGTACCTTTGGGAAGCTTGCACTGTCATTCCTAACATTGTTATATGTATAGGAGTCTCTTTTTCTATAACAATAAATTATTATGGGCACTTTGAAGATTGAAGAAATCTTCAACTTGTAATTATTTGCATACAAATACAATTCCTTAAAAATTATTGGATACATACTGTAATACATGTAGCCTATTGTTTATATAACATTTAATTTCTGGTTTAATGGTAGATTGCCCAAAGCAATGTTTGTCTCTTGTCACTCAAAATTTATTATGATCTACATAACACACACCGACTCATCATTATTATAACAATTTCATGCTATACACATAAGCTTCATTGATATTCATTTCTCTCATCACTGCCTTACCAAACAGCTTGTGAGTCTATCACTGGCACTGCTATGCGTAGTATTGTTATTTCTCTTAAGCTATATATGCATTTGTGTATACATACATGTACATCAAATCTCACACACACACATACACACACACACACCCTTGTTTCAACAAAACATGAAGACCGTGCCCTAAGCCCATGTGTCTGCCCCATATGGCCGCTCAATTACACAGTTACGTGTACATGTACCTTTTGATTTTGTATGTGTTTTATTTATTTGGGTTGTTTATACAAGTGTGGGTCATTGAAGCCCCGAGGCTTTTGTTGTACATGTATCGATGATTGGAGGCGTATATTGACTGAATGTAAATACACACATCTGTACTGTTACATGTACATGTATGTTACATATGTACGTGTACTAAAATGTATATTAAATGTATATTACATATGGTGTACTACTTGTACATGTACATGTGTGTGTGTGTGTGTGTATGGGAATAAAAGTGTGTTTTTGCCAAGTTTCCCCCTTGACAACTTGTGATGTTTGACCAATCAACTTTGTTATTAATGTCTTCTCTCTCTCTCTCCCCTCCCCCCTCTCTTTCTCTTAGGATCAACCTGTTGCATCTTCCACTTGGTCTAACAGTCAGCCTGATTCATTTGCTCCTTTTACTGTCTCTTCCTCTGAAAAGAGTACCT